TCTGCATGCCCCAATCGCTTCGGCATCGAAAACATGTGAAAGCGGGTGGAGAGACCCGCGTCCTGTGGCTATCTTTTCCTGGGCCCGGTATATGGCATACCCATAGGTGACTCTCTTTTTCCCTTCACAGCGCTGCTCCGATCCATCAGAGAAGATTGTGATCGTGCTGCTATCTAGAGAGGCCCACCATTCTTTGAATTCCTTCGCAGCTGTTTTCTTCTCTATTCCTAGCGTTGGATCTGTGCGGCACCCTTGCGAGAAGTGCGGCGCTATTAGAGCTGGCCGGGGGATAGTTGGCAGAAGAAGGCCTAGCCTCTGGATCTTAGTTCTTGGTTGTTGCCTCTCCCCTACTCTGGTGCCAGACTGATTGTGAGGTACGATCGCTCGGTGGGTGAGAGGATGTTGATGGTCTATTGTCTGAAGTCGCAGCGCGAGACGCCACCTAGCCTCTTCAAGTGCTATTTCTGCTGACGGTATCCCAGCTTCTCTAAAGAGTCGTCCGCGCGGAGAAATTGCCGGACTGCACACTCCATGCCTTAAATTGACTTTCTGAGGCGGCAGTCTTCATCTTCCCCTTCTTAGCTCGCTCTCTGACCTGTCGAGCTCTTAGCGACTGTACGTAGCCGTAAACGAGCAGGGGGGTTCTTAGAGAGGGTTGGTCGACAGCACTAAGAAAAAGAGCGACAGCACAGTTGGCAACGCGTTCTCTAATGTCGGATAGGGATGCAGTAGGAGGACGAGTGCTAGAGAATAGATGGACACTGTACCGGCCAATTTACATATATCGTGTGAGCATGCCGGGTGTCCGAAAGAAAAAGTGTCCCGTTACACCGGGCGTCCCGGCACGCGAGGATTGACATTAGCTATTTACTATATTTTGTAACTAATAAAAATCACATATAATATATATACACAACTAAGCTCTTGAGTTAGTAATTTTGTTATTATGTAGCAGGAGGTTGTTCTTTGGTAGCTGTCTTTACTCTGCCATGCGTCTTGTCAGACTTGGGACTAACAGCAAGCTCTTGCATCAACGCAGTGTAAGCACACATATATTACACCCTGCGCTTACTCGTGGAGATGACCAAGGTGCTTTGCCAGTGCAATGGCTCGACTGGGTAATCAGAGTATGTACTATACCTGCGTCAATTACAACTACTTCGTCGAGACTGGTGCTGCATTCCATCGTGGTAGAAATTTAGCATCAAAAACTCTCCAGATGCAAATAACAACACAGACAGTAGAAATACAGCACGGTCCAAATCGTACAGCTTCACATCGCTTGTACGCGTTCTCCAGCTCAGTCCAATGCGACGTGTATGGGCTGGGCCTCGCCGACAGTGACAATCTTAGCTTCGCCTACTAGGGTCTCCGACCCCACAAGAACGGTCCCTGAGAAGCAACGGCGAGATTTGCCCGCCATCACAACACGTAGCATCTCAACACTCGAACAAAGCAATTGGCATTTGGCCCACACATCAATTGCTCCTCTTCCTTAACACTTAGTGGTACACATAATCGATTTTGGCATCTCCTTCCGGTAAGTGCAAGAGAACAGGTGCCCCACCCACCATCTGCAGCTCTCTGGACACAGTAGCTAACACTCGACCTCGCCCGTGCAGCTACCCGACATCCACCATGAGCAACCTTTTCGAGGCAAAGGTCAAGAGCGTACTTTCCGGCGATACCGTCGTCCTCCACAACATCAAGGATCCAAAAGCAGAGCGCATACTCAGCCTAGCCTTTGTAACAGCGCCGCGATTGAGACGAGAGGGAGATGAGCCCTTCGCCTTCGAGTCACGCGACTATCTCCGCCGCCTGCTGGTAGGCAAGGTCGTCCGCTTCCAAGTCCTGTACAAAATTCCCACAGGCGCGAACCGCGAATACGGCCTCATTGTCACACCGAACAAGGAGATACTACCGCAACAAGCCGTCGCGGCAGGCTGGGTGAAGCTCCGAGACGACGCTGGCCGCAAAGAAGACTCGGACGAAGCGGCCAATCTGATTGAGAGACTCCAAGTCGACGAGGCACGCGCCAGGGCAGATTCAAAGGGAATCTGGGCTGAGACGGGTGGCAGGATCAATGTGGCTTTAGAGCTGAGCGATCCCCACAAGTTTGTTGAGCAGAACAAGGGCAAGGACATTGACTCCATTGTCGAAAAGGTCCTGTCCGGCGACCGTCTCATCGTGCGCCTCCTTCTTTCGCCCACCGAGCATGTACAAACCATGGTCCTCCTCGCTGGTATCCGCGCACCAGCAACACAACGAACTAACCCCTCAGACGGAAAGGTACAACCAGCTGAGCCATTTGGTGACGAGGCACAGCAATTTGTTGAGGCAAGGATGCTCCAGCGCGGTGTGCTCGTTCAGGTACTCGGTACTACACCCAACGGCCAGCTCGTTGCAGATATCAAGCACCCGACCCAGGGCAGCATCACACCTTTCCTCCTCAAGAATGGTCTCGCAAAGTGCACCGACCACCACACCACCCTTTTGGGCCAGCAAATGGGTATACTGAGGGGAGCTGAGAAGCAGGCAAAGGAAAACCGACTGGGTGTGTACAAGGAACACGTTGCGCCCAAGGTCACCAGGGCAGGCGAGCAAGAAGCCACCGTCAGCCGGATTCAGAGCGCAGACACCCTTTTCCTGCGGAACAAGGCCGGCGCAGAGAAGCGCATCAACCTCAGCAGCGTCCGTCAACCAAAGCCTACTGATCCCAAGCAATCGCCATGGGTGGCCGAGGCAAAGGAGTTTCTGCGCAAGAAGCTTATTGGAAAGCATGTCAAATTCCACGTCGATGGAAAGCGGCCAGCCAGCGACGGCTACGATGAGCGAGAGATGTGCACCGTCACCATCCAGGGCAAGAATATTGGTCTGATGCTTGTCGAGAACGGCATGGCTTCGGTCATCCGCCACCGACAGGACGACACGGATAGGAGCCCCATTTACGATGATCTCCTGCTGGCTGAGCAAGCTGCACAAGAGGAGAAGAAGGGGCTGTGGTCGGACAAGGCGCCGTCTGTCAAGCAGTACGTCGACTACTCGGAGTCACTTGAAAAGGCCAAGCGCCAACTCACCGTACTCTCCCGGCAACGCAAGGTACCCGCGATTGTAGACTTTGTCAAGTCTGGATCGCGTTTCACTGTACTGGTACCACGCGAGAACGCAAAGCTCACCTTTGTCCTCTCTGGTATTCGTGCGCCTCGGTCTGCGCGTAACGAGAACGAAAAGGGGGAGCCGTTTGGCAAGGAGGCACACGAATTCGCCAACCGACGCTGCCAGCAGCGAGACGTTGAAATCGACGTCGAGGACTGTGACAAGGTCGGTGGTTTCATCGGTACTCTCTACATTAACCGCGAGAACTTTGCAAAGACGCTAGTCGAGGAGGGTCTTGCAACAGTCCATGCCTACTCCGCGGAAAAGTCTGGAAACGCAAACGAGCTGTTTGCTGCTGAGCAGAGGGCCAAGGACGCACGCAAGGGCTTGTGGCATGACTATGATCCTTCACAAGAGGATGACGGTGAGGAAGTTGAAGCTGCTGAAGCCACCAATGGCGAGGCTGCTCCATCAGCAAAGGCCGACTACCGCGACGTCATCATCACACATGTCGAGGACGATGGCCGACTTCGACTCCAGCAAATTGGTAGCGGCACATCGGCGTTGACATCGCTGATGGACGCCTTTGGCAAATTCCATCTCAACCCAGCAAACAGCCAAGGCCTGTCCGACGCTCCCAAGGCTGGTGAGTTCGTCGCAGCCAAGTTCACTGCCGATGATCAGTGGTACCGCGCGCGCATTCGACGCAACGACCGTGAAAACAAAAAGGCCGAGGTCGTATACATTGACTATGGTAACTCCGAGATAATCCCATGGTCACGCCTCCGCCCTCTTTCACAGCCCCAGTTCTTGCCATCAAAGCTCAAGCCACAAGCTGTCGAGGCACAATTGGCATACATCCAACTCCCTGGCAACTCCGAGTACCTCCAGGATGCGGTATCATTCATCTCGCAAGAGACTGCCGACCGCGAGCTCGTTGCCAGAGTCGAGGCAACTGAAAAGGACGGCATGCTCTGGGTGACCTTGTACAACCCCAACCAGAGCAAAGACGGCACTGAGAGCATCAACGCAGACATTCTGAGCGAAGGTCTCGCTATGGTGCCCAAGAAGCTACGACCATTTGAGCGCAGTGGCGGAAACATCTTGGCTGCCTTGAAGAAGAAGCAGGATATCGCCAAGGAGGAGCGTCGTGGCCAGTGGGAGTATGGCGATCTTACTGAGGACTAAGTTGTTGACTTGTCTTTGATTTGGCATCAGTTGAACCTGGATATGACTTGTATGAGAAAACAAAAGTTGGCACACAGCAGGACTGAAAGAAAAGGGTTTGGAATTATATGCTAACGATGTTGTAATATTAAAAAAAAAAGTCTATGCATTAGATTACGGTGTGCTATAGTCGTAGGCTGCTGCTGCTGCTGCTCACATGTTGAAATCTGTTAGTGTCGTCGTGACTATGGCACACCGGCGTGCCAGTGTGCCGCGCGGTAGCAGCTGAGACATTATTACTCACTACAGCCTCGCTTTTCACAACAATGACGAATGTTGTTTCAGTAGAGATCGCGATAACACTCATGTGTGGCTTCTGTATTAGCATGTCGAATTGTATGCATGCACGTCCATCGTTGCCTGAGGCCGTCGCACACTGCGTAGGCCAGCCCTGCCACGGTGGTGGCGCAAGCGGAGAAGGCCGCACTGTGATTGGCGCGTCGGCGACGGAGATCTTTCCCCCACCATCCAAGGAGCTGAGGCGGTGCCTGTAGGCAACCATCAAATGCACCCTGGTTAGACAGAACACGAGTCTTGTGCCATGGCGACGGGCCCCAAGGCAGTCGTGTTGCAGGCACCCCTCATGCATCCCCTCACATAGCTAATAATCGCCTTTCCCCCCCCCTCATCGCGCGTCGTAGCAGCCTTTGCGACGACTTGCCCGCCCACTTGTGACCATGGAAACGATTAGCAGACTGCCGCGGCGCTTGACACAGCTCTACTCAGATACCAAAACCACATGCGATGCTGTGGTGGAGCAGGATGCCAAAAACACACCAGAATCGCATGCGCTGCATCGCAAGTTCAGGATCCAAAAGGACAGGCTCATAACATGGGGCGTCGACTGGAGCGACAACGCCAAAGGAAAGCAGGGCGACATTGACGACAGCGTCGAGGAAGCTGGCATGACGGAGACTGTCACAAGTGTGCTCGGGACCATCAAGGAGATTCTCGATGAGGCAGAAAGAATGCACCCGGGCGCATCTGCTGCTGGTGTGGGAAAGACATTATCTGGAGAGAAGAGTCGGCCTGACCCGCCCTCGTGGGCGCCCGCTGACAAGTCACGTTACGAGGACTTGATCAAGGACCTCACCACTTCCATTGACATACTGTACGACCTGTCCCGCAACCGAAGAAACCAGAGAGGCCAAGAGCGAGGGAACAGCCCGGGAAAATCTGCACCACGATCTCGTCAACACGGCACTGCAACACCAGTGTTCCTGTCGCCAGACTACAACGCATCTGACCTGACACTCGTAAACCCAGCCACCTTTTCGTCGAATGCTCAGATTCCCCGGTCCAACCTCCCACCAAAACTAGACTATACTGACCTCATCCTGCCCGACGAGGAACCGCCACCATACGAAAGTGTTGGTACCACATCTGTTCGTGTCATTGGCCGCTTACGATCTAGAAACAACCCGCATGCCTGGAGAACAGACAGTGCCAGAGATAAAGAGACCTGTGTGCTCGTAGATTACGCAAGTTACGATCCTACCTATCGCCTTACTGGAGTTTCGCCATCGATAGAGCGTCTCGAGGCTCTTTTGGGTATACTAACAAAGTTGACTAACAGCCAATCTTTTCACGGCACACTCAAGTGTCTCGGATACGTTGAAGATCCAAGCCAGCCGCGCTTTGGTTTGGTATTCGAATTGCCGAGTTCTGTCTATTCCGGACCTCTTGATTCACACAAATCTATAGACGACTTGACGCCAGTTACCCTGCTGAGCGTGCTTCAGACGGGATCGAAATCCTTGCACAACTCCAACAGCGCGACGCCGCCACTCGAAGACCGCTTTCGTCTGGCCTTTACTCTCGCCTTGACTTTCAGCAAGATCCATGGCGATAACTTTGTTCACAAGGACGTTAACAGTACTAATATTGTACTATTTAAGAAGAACAAGCGCCATTCTGCAAACAACCGAGCACTACAGTATTCGCTACGGACCCCTGTCATCTGCTCATTCGATATCTTTTCCGACTGCGACGTTGAGGCCACCAACACGATGCCGACACTAAACATTTACCGTCACCCTGAGGATCCCAAGTGCAGTGGCAAAAAACACCCGTACACGCCGAGTTTCGATTTGTATGGCCTGGGTTTAGTACTGCTTGAAGTGGGTCTGTGGCAGCCGCTCTTTGACTTGTGGAAGCAAAAGTACACCCTCCGCGATTTCAAGCAAAGGATTGAGGATGTGTATATCCGGAGGCTTGCGTCCAAATGCGGAACGGCTTACATGCAAGTGGTGCGCGACTGTTTTTGGGCTGCCGATGCAAAGGGTGACGCTGCAGATGTCTACCCAGTCTATTCCCGCATCCTTACTAGGCTACAGCGCTGCTGTATGCTGGACGAGTCCGAGCCCGGCTTCGACCTGAAAGACTTGCGGCCTGACGCTGCGAACATGCAACACCCGTCTCCACTAAAGCGCAAGAGCGGCAGCCAGACTCAGCTTGCTGCCGAAGCTCAGCAGAGTCCATCGTATAGAAGCGCAAAGAGATGGGCTATGGAAAAGGGATCACAGGCGTTGGAGAGAACCAAGTCTTTGTCAAGAAAATCACCCGACTTGTCACTCGCACGAAACCCATCACGAAGCTCACAACATTCTATCCGAAAGAGCATCTCGGAAAGCCTGCGGATGATGAGCCCCAAGCAAGACACACTGGATTTGGAATGGGAACCGAGAGATCCGCTTGAAGAATCAGGCACTCTTGTTGAGACGCCACCGAACTCGCACGACCCAAGTGACGCCTCATCACTGTACCGAGAGCGAGTGGTTACTGCCGCTTCAACGATACAGCGCGCATGGAGACAGTCACGCAAGCCTCCGGGTCAATCCGTATCCCTCAAAGATTACAAAGAAAAGATTACAATCATCCAGAATGCTTGGCGACAGTCAAAGGAGAAGCGAACGAACAGCACCATTTCAGCTCTTGTTACTGACGGAATCCGCCACTGGCCGCAGGCTACCCTTGGGTATCCAACGCCTGAGCCTGAGCCTGAGATTCAAAGCCGCACAGTGGATTCGAGCGAGAGTTTCGTTACGTCTTCGATTCAGATCGAGACGGAAAATGAACCTGTCGCTCGTCCAAAGATGCGCTTATTTCCCGTCAAGTTCACGCCCGAGATTGTGGAAGAATGGCACTCAACTATGCTGCCTCGTCTCGAGCGCCTCATCGAGCGTGCACTCAAAGACTCTGAGGAAACTGTCAGCATCGATCTTGTAGCTGTGGGAGAAGTTCTGGAGAAGGCTAAGCCTACGGTGTTTGTCACTTGCAGTAGCGTTGCAAAGGTCAGGGCTATTCTAGGTCGCCGCTTTCGATACGACGAAAATGTGTATGATTTGAAAGTCAGGAGGGGCAAGATTAGGAGATCGAAAATGAGTCGCTCGTCACGTCGTACTCGGTATGTTGTTTGTTTTTGAACTACGAGCAAGTGACTAATTCTAACAGACCCCCTCATCGCTCCATGATGAACACCGACTCGTATGGCGCTGACATGGCTGTCATGAATCCATGGCATCAGCAGCGCCCACTCTGTGGAGCATCTATCGGCGCCTTCAATGGACAGCACCTACCACCAGTTTCATATGGTGGAGTCATTCTAGTCGATGATGAGCCATTGGGAATGAGTGTTCACCACCTGCTCGATGCGCCGTCAGACGACGAGAGCGATGCTGGTGAAGACTACGATGGGCCATACCCAAATGAAACCACATTGTCAAGTGCAGCGAACAACCCTTGGCTGATGGGTATGGGCACGCAGCCAGGTGTTTACTTGGAGTCAGAGGAGCCTGCTCCTATGTGGGATCTTGAACTATCCGATGACGAAGATCTAAGGAGCGAAGATGATGAGGTCGACGCCGACTCTTTTGACTTTTCCGACAGCGAATTCGAATCCGACGATGAGTCCGCTGAGGGTATGTTGACAAACTTCGCCATACGGCCATCAAACTAACCAAGGATAGACATGGCCGAATCTGCCATGTCACGTGCAACTACAGGCGATATCGATGGCATCCTGCCCGGCGAGGGCGAAGAGATCCGAATTACCCAGCCAGCCCTTGACGATGTAGACCCAGATTTCTTTCCTAACGAAGAAGACCGCGATGACGACCATCTCTCTTCCCACGAACTAGGCCACGTCCACGCCTCATCCGGCATCCGCCGCTGGAAGCGCGATGGCATCCTCCACGAAATTGACTGGGCCCTCCTCAAGCTCAAAGAAGACCGTCTCCAACCCTACAATATTTGCCAGGGCGGCCGCCGCTTCTGCTTCGGCAACATGACCCCCGAACAACGTATCATAGCTTCCAAGCTCAAGGCGCCCGTAGATCGTCGCCAATACACGCCCGAAGAAGACGAATACCCCAACGGCGTCGCACCTGCCTCTTCCCTTGGCGGCCTCGCCGTTCACTGCTTCGGCCGCACAACCGGCCTCCAAGGCGGTATGATCAGCTCCGTCATGTCCGCTGTGCGCATCTACCACCGCAAATCCTTCTCCCGCTCCTGGCACGTCGCCGGCGACTTTGGCGTCGGCGGCGACAGCGGCGCGTGGGTCGTGCAAAACGGCAAACACAAAGTCGTCGGCCACGTCCTTGCTTTCTGCCACAAAAACCGTATCGCGTATATTTGTCCAATGGAGGTCTTGCTCGAAGATATCAAGCGCACCCTTGGTGCTAAGCGGATTTATCTACCTGGGTCCATGGAACAGATGTCGTATGCGGCCCGGAAGACTCGGCATCAGCCGCAGCATCAGCACCAGCAGGTTGATGCCATGTCGGACCTGGGGGATAGAGTTCATGGACTCGGTATTGTGGATTCCGCAGTCGATGTTAGAGAAGCGCTTGCGTCGGGACCTCCTCCTCCTCCTAGTGTGAATGCAGGCGGTATATGGAGCCATCGCTCCCCACTACTCGCCCGCGCGGCAGCGCAGGATGCAGCGGATAAAGAGGGGCGGAGCGTGATTCGGAGTAGTATTGTGCGCGTGCCTGAGAGTACTAGGGATGGCGGGATTGAAATGAGTGTTTAGGGAAATACCTTTCCTCCCCTCTCCTCTTTCTTTTTCTTCATGTTGTTAGTATAGCCTTTTATATATATATTCTCAATTTGAATTCCATTCTTCTTCTTCTTCTTCTTCTTCTTCTTCTTCTTCTTTTGCAACAAACTCATTCCCATTTTCTAGCCCCTATATCACTCACCACCCCGCCTTCGTCCTCACCCTCACCCAGTCTCCGCCAAAACTCGTCGATTTCGGTAATATACCGTGTCTCGTTCAGCGGCTTGTTCCATTCGTTACCTGGGGATCCGGCGATGCGCTGCCACTGCGCCATGCGCTCGGGCCGCTTGCCGTCGCGGTTCGAAGCGAAGTGGATGAGAAGTGAACCTTTGCGCGCAGCGGATGGGGCAGATGGTGGCGGAGAGGTAGTAGAGGGAGGTGGGTAGGCGTTGAACCAGCGCTGGGGGACGTGAATGATGTTTGGAGAGAAGTGTGGCTGGTACAATACGTCAGTCAATCTTTCCCCTTTTTTCCTCTTGGATTCCCTTGCCCCTTTTCCCCATCTCTTCTTTTTCTTTTCTTGTACGATTACAACGGAGGCAAGTATGACCAAGTGTGTTTAGTGAAAAGAAAAGAAAAGAAAAGAGAAAAAAACGTACTCGTCCCCCCACAATCTCCATAGCACTCTGCTCCGAATACTTGAGCGTGACATGCGCATCCCACTCCCTCAAACTCAAACTCGCACTCAAAAACCGTACCGCCCACTCACTCACCCTCAGAAAAAACACCCCATTGTTCAACCCGTGCCGGTCATTCGTTACTATCAAATTCACATCCCTTCCTGTCCTGTTCCCGCCTACCTCCTTCTCCGGTGGCGGTAAAAAGACTTCAAGTGGAACGTTGGGATTCATGAGGATGGTATCGCGGTCGTGCCAGAAGAGCCAGTGAAGTCGGTGTTCGGCTGGTTTCGACAGTTCGGTGCCGAGAAGGGTGAGCAGGAAGGCGTGTTTGGACCATAGCCCCGGCAACATGCGTTCGCGTAGGATAAAGTGCGGGTAGCTGTGAATGGTATCATGAGTGTGGTGCGAGGAGATTGCGGCTTCGTAGGTGGTATCTTTGGGGCCGAAGGAGGCGGTTGCTTTGCCGATTTTGGAACGGAACTTGCTATCTTGTGGAGGGGTGCTGGAGGGGTCTGAGGCGAGGAAGGGAGAGGAAGGAAGGATTGGCGGGGAGAGGGATGAGGTTGGGGTATGTGTGAGGTAGAAGATGAGGGATACGGCGAGGGTGAGGAAAGAGAGGTATTTTAAAGTTTGAATGCGACTTCGTGGGCGACAGGTCTGGCGGCATTGCGATTCCTCGTCGTTGTCGTCGAGAGAGAAATCGCTGTCGAATGATGGTCGCGTGCTGCGGCTCATTACGGTGTTTGATGGTGTTTTCTGGGCGGAATGCGACTTTGGCAACTGCGCATACGACGTGTATCTACTAGCATTGAGGATACTGCACTATCAATCGGGTTGAGAGAGGAAAAGAAAACCCCTAGACCGAGGCTGGTGAAGCGGGACTACATGGCTCGAGACTTGGGGAAACGGCAGAGATATGAGACGCGCATTGTGTTGGTCTTGCGCCTCAAAGGCCGGCGTCAGCCTCCCTGCATGGCCGACGTAACGAAGGTAAGAAGCTCCCAAGATTGCCAGCTCGGCCAATTAGGTTGGGCGGACTGGGCGCCGGACTGGGCGCACCAAAGTATGACGACCGGGGTTGCCACGTTTGTGAGGCTCACTACGTGTTTAGCACCCACCGGCTCTATTCTCGTGTACATGTCTAGAAGAAAGCCATTTCTATCAGTTTTGGTGAGCTCTCTTATACTACGCCGTCCAATGTAGGGGCTGGCAGCAGTCTTTTAGGCGTTTTAGCCAAGAGCCTGGGCACCATGATACAATTGTACGTCGATGTATCAAAAGAGTAGACTTTGACTCTTCGCAATGTCTAGAATTAAGCTACCTAAGCCATTACACCCACAAGACACATGTAAAAAAGAGTATAGTAAAATGTCTAACTTAACAGCGAGTGGCATGACTCAGGTCATCTTCGTATTCGCAAGATTAGCTACAACATTAGTTATGACCTTCAGTCTCCGTACGGGAGTTCTGCGATATAACTCCCATACATCTCTTTACGAAACGTGATTCATGGGTCTTGTTAATTCACTCAAGTGCTTTGGTACGATTAGCTATGCTATATCTAGCTAGCATACCATCGTATTTGACTCTTGTCGTGATTAAGAAATTGCTTGAACCACTGCTTATCTGAGGCACTCATACGAGAGCACCCCACCAATCACGAGTTCCTTCTTCACGAGTGTTGGCACTAGGAGTAATTTTGCTTAGTTGGGGCTTACGAGTGGAGTCGGCTTTCATGCAGAGGACATGTAGTTCTACAGTGATACAAGAGGGTGTCTTGATAGTGCTCAGAACGTTGTATTCGTCTTAGGATAATGTTTCCAAATCTAAGTCTACTGCATCCGTTTCGACGGATCTCAGACTCTACTCCTACTCGACGCAGATCCAGCGACCGTTTGGTTTTTTATTCGTCAAGTCAGTATAGCAGAAAGTCTCCGACGCCGGCCCGACATAAATGTTTTACTCCTGACTATAGTCATTCCAGCGTTTTTCGGACGAAATTTTTGGAATGTAGTTCACACCAAGTTTTAGAACTACTAGTCTAGAGAAAGAAAAGATGAGGAAACCGATTTGAAGAGTGTTTTTACCTACAGATTGTACGTGGGCCTGATTTTCCTTTCCAGAACCTTGGTTTCTGAATGTAAGGTATTGAATATTGGGAGTATTTGCTGGCTTGCTTGGCAAATAATAGACTGCAGAGACTGTGCTTAAGAGGGCAGAGACTGCGAGGAAAATTAGTGCAATCATTACGTACCGTTAGGAAACAACCCCTAATGTAGATTCTAGCTGGTACGTAGGCAGTGATGTAGGTGGACGGGAGAAAAATCGCAGTGTCATGGAACATAGATGAAGATTTATCTTTCTTAGTGAGAGGCTGTTAGTGTGCTGAAGTTTGCAGATGCTCCTACTGTAGAAGACAAGTATTCATGCTGGAGCATGCATATTTCTGTGATTAAAAACCTAGAAGAAGTGTTGTCGTAGCACTCTTTCTGTCTCTTTCTATACCTTCACTTCTTTATCTTTACTTCTTAGGATATAACTAGTTAAAAACAGAGAGATATGTAAAGTGAGAAAGGAGAAGCAGTACGAATAGCTCAAGTTAATGTGCTAGACAGATTAGGTATAATATCATAGAGTTTTCCGCAGATGCAGAGATCTTTGAGAAAGCACACTGGTTGATATCATAGCGGGCAGTGCGTGAACACCGCTAGTGCAACAGTGGTGCTGTCACTTACCTTCCTCTTCAACCAACAACCTAAGCACGAGGTACATGCAAGACTCACTGAAGGTTTCCTTCACCTTCCTATATCTACTAGTATACCAGGATGCTTGTCTGTCGCTAAGCCTGTGGCGTGCTGCTTAGCCGTGCTTGCCTGGTCGTCTTAAATAGCTGTGTAACTTTAAGTTTCCCGTCTTGCAACGTTCGACATCTCCCAATTTACCATGCCAGGCAAAACCCTTCACACTGACGCTGAGGTCTACGACTTCGTTCTCATCGGAGCCGGATCAGCTTCTTGCTTAATCGCATCACGTCTTTCGCAACAGCTGCCTGACCACCAGATTCTTGTTCTGGAAGCTGGAGAACATATTCGCAATGACCCTAAAGTGCAGACACCTGGTCTAGCCACGAGGCTACTATCGGATCCCACTTACGATTGGCGATATTCTTCTGCGCCGGAGCCGGGGTTGAATAACAGGAAGGTTGACCATCCCAGGGGAAAACTGGTGGGCGGTAGCAGTGCGATTAATAGTCACAGTGTGGTGTTTCCTAATCACGAATGGCACGACGACCGTGTGGTAGAGGAGCTTCTATCAGATGCGGGGAGAGAAGAGTGGGGCTCACGGGGCATGAGCGATTGCTATAGACGATGGCAGGCAGAACATCCCAGTTCAAGAGTAGATGACGATGGAGTATCTCTGGATCGTGTGCAGACATCATACCCGCGTACCTGGGATCTACTTCGAACTCGATGGGTGGAAGCCTTTGAGGAGCTTGGTTGTCCGACGAGGGCTACAGGGTTTACCGAGAGCTCTGCCGGAGCAGTCAACATCACCAATGCGATCGATTCCTCAAAAGGCGAACGAAGCCATGCAGGTATAGCATATCTAGAACCCGCCTTGAAACGTGGCACTGTCACATTGAAGACTGGCGTAAAGGTTGATAAGATTGCATTTGATGAGGCATTGACTGCTGATGGAAAACTCAATGCTAGAGGTACCCACTACACATACAGGGGAGAAGAGTATTTTGTCAGTGGTTGAGAAATCATCCTCGGTGCAGGCGTATTTGAACCGTCCCTCATCCTGGAACGATCCGGCATCGGATCTAAAAAGATTCTTGCAGACGCCAATATCCCGGTCCTGTACGAACTTTTAGGGGTCGGTGAAAACTTGCAGGATCATCTGAATTGCGGCCTGTCATGCGAAACTCAAGACGACATCCCTACCCGTGACGAAATAATGCGAAGCCCCGAATTGCAAAAGACCGCATTGTTGGAGTACGAAGAAAGCCACACTGGCCGAGTGTCAGAAGGGGCCGCATATAGTTTTGCCTTTACACCACTACAGATGCTGGAAACTCCATCGGATACACAGGACCTTATCGAAATAGTCGAACATTGGATGAAAAACGAGAGTAACCCGAACCTAAAGGCCCAGTACTCCATTCAAAAGGCGGTCGAAAGTCCCAACGAAGCGACAACCACCTTGTTCATGCTGCGTACACAACGTCATAAAGACGCTGATTCGCTCCCCAAAGGCACGCCATCTGTTGTAGATGGCAACTGTATAAGCGTTGTAGCAATGTTGGCTCATCCCTTCTCGCGTGGAAGCTGTCATATCTCACTCGATTCTTCAAATCAGCCCGAGATAAAATTCAACTACCTTTCTCACACCCTCGATACGGAAATACTAGCTCGCCACTTGCGTCTCACCGAAAGGCTATTCCAGAAGCCTACCTTTGCTGCCATGACAAAGCTGGACGGAAGACGATTGCCTCGAAACTTCCCCCATCCGGTAACATCACTCAAAGACGCGAAAGGGATCCTCCCAATCAACTCTGCGACGAACTACCATCCGTGCGGTACTTGTTCCATGATGAGGGAAGATCTTAGTAGAGTGGTTGACGAGCGGCTGGCTATATACGGGACGAAGAATATGAGGATTTGCGATGCGAGTGTCTTGCCAATCATCCCACGGGGGAATATTCTGACCGCTGTCTACGCTTTCGCCGAGAAGGCAGCTGAGATAATTGTTAGGGAGACGAAATCTGGTCTTCTTTCACGCCAAGGCATATGATTTTGACTTCGTCATTGTATCACTACTATGGCAATACATGGAACTCAAGCGACTACTTCTTAGGTAGCACAAAAAATGCGAAACGACTGGCTTTGATGATATTCACTACTATATTTCCAATCTACAAAAATGTATCAGAAATACTCCTATCCACTTATCACTTCTGTCACATAGTAAGGATTAAATTCTTTGACTAACAGTAGTTAGAGCAGCCAGAGCAACGCTTAACTTTAGCTATACCCATTTTCAGCCCGCTCATGGGCTATTAGCTGCTATTAGCTTAATACAAGAGTACCAGAGTAACAGGCAGTGCTAGGCGTCACTCAGGCGCTACCCCTTTGGTGTCACTCGTCTATCATCCGACAGTGGCTGATGAGCGACAGTGGCTGATGAGCGACAGTGGCTGATTGGTATGTACGTCTTTGTGGACTGAAACAAGTGAATGGAAAATTGCCTTGGTTACCAGAAAAGTGTACCTACTCACAATTGGTTGTCTCTAACATTACTCCCCTGCACTTGAATTGACTTTGTGTGCAGAAGCGGCTGGATTGCCTGTGTAAAGTTGATAACAGCTTTGGACAGCTACTGCAGCTACGTGAAGTCGGGCTAGCCAGATAAATTTGTAGTTAGAGCTACACCCCTTCTCAGCACTGTTTGTGACTGGGTACCAGTGTGATATTGAGGTTCAAAGTCGTGTATGCAGATGATAAGGGGCTTCGCACACTCACGTGGCTTGCTGTATGATCAATCGACGGCTGCTGCCTAACAGCCACAATTCAATTGCTGGCAACATCCTCGAGCGAGACAGCAGCTGGAGTGACACTAGGAAAGTAACAGTATACACGAGGCTATGCTGTTAGCTTCCACTCTTGAGGACTTTGAAGCAAATCCCAGAGGACCTGCCACAGGTACGTACTCAGCTGCATCCAAGTCGTTCAGGGGTTTATGCCGTAGCATTTCCCCATGCAAGGAGAGTTGTAGGCTGACTTGCTCAAGAAGCGAATGCACCATGGACCCAAGCTGTACAACGGTGTTGCCTAACGAAAGTCTTGTTATTAGTTAGCGTCGGACCTATGTACATGCCGAAGCATCGGAAACAGACTTAAGCGCAATTCCCCATAGTCATTGTAGCTGAAATACTAGCAGCTAGTGCGAAGAATAGCCAATACGGTCGTGGAGTGAACCGATGCAATCCTGTCAAATCTCCACAGTCCTGTGGCGGTTCGTATTTTGTACAGCTGTGGGTGTTGATTTCGGTACAAGGCAGCACGATGTTTCCGACGTTGGTGTCAGCTTGTCACCGTCCCGTTTCTAGTGGGCACCATGCGGGAAGAATGACTTAGGTGATTATGCTATGCTAGACCACTCGGATTTGAGGCTGAGCCCCTTTCGCCTTTGTTCACTGCTATGTGCACGACTTCGTCGTCGTTCATAATCCTACCCCTAGCATCGTTGTCTCTTTAAGCTGATCTTGAGCAATCCAGATAAACATTTATGGGGCTTTAAAAAAGGGTCATTAAGAAGCCAATAACCCAATAGTAGAAGCAGGAGCCCACGACAGCCTTGCTGCGCCGCTTTGGCGTATCTGTATACGGGCAAGCGTGCGCTAGACGCCCCAAATGAGGGACGCTAGGGCGAGAATGAATGTGGCGCATCCCCTATGAGGGTCTGTTCTTTGGCGAACACCATAAGCGAACACGCATCTTGGTCCCGGCTCCAATCGCTGCGGGGTTGAACAGCTTCTGCCATGCTAGGCGCTACCACGTATCTCGCATTGGACAGGTTTGACAAGTACAAACTGTATTTGAAGTCTTCCGACAATGTTTGAGCGTAAACGCTGGTGGCTTCGCTGTCTGCTGCGAGCTGATGTCAAGTCTACGCATCAACTCGGACTCGCGGCGTACGAGGTACGCACGATTATACGCAATGCTGATCTTGAAGTTCGCGCTATTGACGGCTCAAAGCGCTGAGGCCATAAAGTCTAGGCCTATAGACAGGCAATACTGGTGCGATGGACAACGATGCTTCACCGAACTAGCACTCGGCAGCTAGCACTCGACTCCAACGACCTGGCAATGTGGAAATACATCCACGCAGAAAGGGATGTCGTGAACTCCATGACTCGCTTTCGCGACTCGTTCCATGCACAACGGAATGCCCGGATGTCCAAGTCGTTGCCTGTGGAATCGAAAACTCACGAAGCTGCTGAACAAACAACCAATGGAAGAAAAACCACCTCCAATGATCCAAAAGCAAGTCTCTAAGTAGACACCGAGTCTTACAAGGTCGCACAGATGTAGGGCATTAGTCCGAGTCTCAGCCTTGTGCCTAAAAGCTTGCACATCGTATCCGCAGCGGCATCAGACTCAAGAGTGCTTAGCGGGTCTCATTCAATGCAGTAGCGCTACGGGTGTAGATCGAATCAAGGGCACGACAGAAGCTTTTGCAACCTCAGGGGCAAGTCTCTCCGAGACCGAGCTCTGCGGCTTCAAGTGAGTATATAGGTATCATCGTTTCTCTTCCTACATTCTCCATCTTCACGATCCTCTCAATCAATCAACATCTTTCGCACTCTTCGAGTGACGACGACATTCCTTTTTCATTATCAACTTACCCCAGTCATTCGTTATCCACGATCTTTTTATACGTAATATTTAGCTCTACTAATTCATCACAATGAAGTACGCTATCATCTTCGCTGCTACCGCCGCAGCCCACCAGGCCTACGGCGGATATGGTGCCGATGCTCACTCCAGCGTCGAGCCAAGCACAACCGCAACCCCCATTGGCTACACCACCGTTGTTCCCGGCTATGGCAAGCAGCCGGTCACCGTGACCACCCAGCACCAGGCGTACCCAACCTGTGTGACTCCTGCTTATGGCGACAAGGGCTGTGCCAAGTGGGGAGAGGACACCTACGTCTCCACTGTCATCAAGGACTACGACAACAACTACGCTACTGTCACCAACACTGAGCAGCCAGTCGTTGTCTACCACACCAAGACGACCATTACTCACTCTGCTACTGGAACTGGTGGCTATGCTGCTCCCACTGGCACTGCCTCCAAGAACGGCACTGCTGACTGCTGGTACGAGCTTTATGAGAAGATTGAGGAGGTTCCATACAAGAACCTTGGCCCCAAGGCTCTTCCCGGATACAGTGGCTCTGGTCTCTACACCAAGGGTGACAAGGAGCAGCCCGTTCACGTCAAGGAGTACAAGGGTGGAAAGTGGTCCGAGTACGAACATGTCTACTCCCATGGCGAGCCCAAGCCAGAGGTCAAGGTTTACGAGAAGCCTGGCGTCTACGTCGTCCCCAGCAAGGACATGGTAGTCGATCACCCTGTCGACCACCCTGCTGAGGCTACCACCACCGCCAAGGCTGGTGAGACCTGCACCTACGGCGGACAGTCCGTCACTGCCACTCAGACTGGCTACATCACTGCTCCCTATGCTGGCTACAAGACCAAGGTTGAGGGTGACAAGACCATGACCGAGACTGTCATCGAGTACACCACCATCTACGCCTCGACCACCGGTACCTACGAGGTCACCAAGCCCACGACTACCGTCTACGACCACGACACCGAGGTCACTTACCCCACTGCCCAGCACTACGACGCCGGTGTCTACCACCAGCCGGCCCAGACTGTCACCATCACCTCTGCTGGCCAGGCTTACACCTGCGAGTATGAGAAGACCAAGGCTACTCCCTCGCCAATGGTCCCTGGACACGGCAAGGCCTACGGTGGAAACAGCTACGGCTCTTACCCAGCCCATAATAGCTCTTCCATCGCCTACGGCTCTTACCCAGCTGCTTCAACCCCTGCTGCCCATGGTTCTTACCCAGCTGCTTCCTCCCCAGCTGCTTACGGCTCCTACCCAGCTGCTTCCAGCCCAGCTGCAGTCCACTCCAAGCCAGCCCACTACGGTGGTAACAACTATGGTGCTTACTCCGCCTCTACCATGAGCACCGTCCCCGTCCAGGCCTACTCCACTCCCGCTGCTCAATACCCTGCTTCTTCCAGCCCAGCTGCCTACGAGCACTCTTACCCAGTAGTCTCCTCCCCAGCTGCTTACGGTTCCTACCCGGCTGCCTCTTCCCCAGCTGCCTACCAACCCGCCCCGGCTGTCTCCTCCCCTGCCGCCTACGGCTCATACCCCGCTGCCTCCAGCCCAGCTGCCTACGAGAACACCCCAGCTGCTTATGAGCCCGCCCCAGCTGCCTCCACCCCAGCTGCCTACGAGAACACCCCAGCTGCTTATGAGCCTGCTCCAGTTGCCTCCACCCCAGCTGCCTACGATTCCTACCCGGCTGTCTCTTCCCCAGCCGCCTACGAGGCCGCCCCAGCTGCCTCCACCCCAGCTGCCTACGAGAACACCCCAGCTGCTTATGAGCCTGCCCCAGTTGTCTCCACCCCAGCTGCCTATGAGAACACCCCAGCTGCCTACGAGCCCGCTGCCACCCCCACCCCCGCCGCCTATGAGAACACTCCCTCCAATGAATACTCGTCTGGCTCCGAGGCATACGGCAGCAGCGAGAAGCCATCTGAGAGCTACTCTGACTACGCTGCTTACTAAAGCGAATGTAGTAGTATAAATTATTTCTTTCCTAGAGTTGAAATATGTTGAGTTTGGAAAGGTGATTGTGAGCAAGATGTTTGTGGAGAGGAGAGAGAGAGAGAAAGGATATGAAGGAAAAAGAAACGAGCAATAGTGAAAAAGGAGATAAGAAATGTCAAGTGAAATATAATATTTTTTGATCTCGATACCTTTTCCCATTCAGACACACACACACACACACACACACACACGCACACAAAGTGCATAACATCGTAACCTTTTATCTAACTATTTCATTTCCCCATACCCTTCAAATACGCCTCCCACCCCCCTTCGGCCAACACGCCATCCTTGCGCAAAACCTCCTTCTCATTCCCCTCCATCCACACCCTCAATCGCTCCCGAATCGCCTTATCCTCCGCCCCGAGAATCCTCACAGCCAACAATGCCGCATTAGTCGAATTATTAATACCAACTGTAGCAACAGGCTCTCCCCGTGGCATCTGCGTCATGCTAACCAAACTATCCCATCCATCCATATGCGTCGCTTTCACCGGCAACCCAATAACAGGGAGTGTGGTCCACGAAGCGCACATACCGGGGAGATGGGCTGCGCCGCCCGCCGCGCCAATGATGACTTTGAGGGAGGTCTGGGATGCGGTTTTTGAGAATTCGCGGAGCCAATCTGGGGTGCGGTGCGCGGAGGTGATGCGCGTGGTGAAGGGGATTTGGAGTTTGGTTAGGATTTCGAGACCGGCGCGGAGGACGGGGAGGTCGGAGTCTGAGCCCATGATCACAGCGACGAGCGGATCTTCTTTGCTGTTGGTGCTGGTGCTTTTGGAGTCGACTGTCTTGCCCTTTTGGGTGTCGACAAAGTCGATGAGGGGTTGGATTTCGCGCTCGGCGGAGGCGAGCGTGGGTGCTGTTACGGTGATGTGGCCCATTTTGCGGCCTGGACGTGCGTCTCCCTTGCCGTAGAGGTGGATTGAGGCGTTGGGTGAGTCGAGAGCTTTCTTTGCTACTTGGACGTGGGAGTCTGGCGTCTTGCCGCCGAGGATGTTGAGCATGATTGCAGGTTCCCGGAGGCGGAGGTTGGACTGTGAGATTGGGAGGTCGAGGATGGCGCGAAGGTGAGCGTCGTATTGTGAGATTGGGCAGGCCTCGATTGTGTAGTGACCGGAGTTGTGTGGACGAGGCGCAATCTCGTTAATGAGTAGGCGATCGTCCTTGAGGAGGAACATCTCGACACCAAAGACACCCTTGCCTTCGAAAGCGCCGATGGCCTTCTTAGCCAGCTCTTGGGCTTGTTGTGTGATCTTTTCTGATACATTTCGTGGAGGCGCGTATGTGAGCTTGCAGATGCTGTCCTCATGTACAGTTTCCACCGTAGGAAATGTGAGCACTCCATCCTTGGTCTTGACAATCATGACTGCCAGCTCCATTCTAAAGTCAGCCCATCGCTCTGCGTAAAGCGGTCGCTTGCCCAATGCTTCGAACGCCGCACCAACATCTGCCTCGCTCCTAACTACAAAGTTTCCTTTGCCATCGTAGGCTTCTGTCTTGCTCTTAAGCATGAAGGGATATCCATACGATGACCCCACTTCTTTGAGTCCCTCGATTCCTTTACCCTCAAGATCAATACTGTCAGCAACATCGACTCCATGCTCTTTCAAATACTGCTTTTGCGCATATTTATCCTTGATCGTTCGTAGTGTCTTCCAGCTGGGTTCAACAACCACCTGTCCCGCAACCTCTTCCAGCATGTGGGTGTCCACGTGCTCAATTTCCACAGTGACAACATCGGAAGATTGTGCAAGTTGCTTTACAGCAGCAGCATCCTTGAAAGACCCCTCAATATGACCACTGTGCGCCGAGATTTGCTTTGCGGGTGTTGCTGCTGCGTCCAGTACGTTGACTTGAATGTTTAAGCGATTTGCGGCTTCAATGAGCATGCGACCGAGTTGGCCTCCGCCCAATACACCGACTTTGCGAGTGTCGACCATTTTGCAGATGTTGATGTTCAAGTCACTGCTGTGCTGCAGTGACTAGGTTGGGCCATTACGTGGGTGAGAGTTGCTAGCGCTCTGGTTGGTTGGATGCGGGGGAACCGCAAGAAAATTTGACAAAGAGCCCGACATCAGTGATTGTATCCTGGGTTGCCGAATGCGGACAAGCAGTGCAGGAAAAAGTTGTACAGTACTAAAAACGTTGCAATACATCACTAAATACGTCTGTTTCACGATGAGGTACTGATATTCATGGGTTGACCATGAGCTCGAAGAGCCCGTTCGTATGCTTTCATTTCATGTTGAGCATCGAGTATCTTTTTATAGGCCTTCAAAGAGCCATTCCTAGTCATGATGCACGCCTCATAAGTGAATTCCCATGACCTTGACCACGCCAAACCAGAGAAACCGAACCACTTGTAGCACACGCTTAGACCTTGAAACCACGAGACCTTCTGCGACCACGGGCACGCTCGAACTTGCGGCCCTTGCTCTCGACGTAAGGCTTCTTGCCGGAGTGGGGACCGAAGCCAAAGTGCTTGAAAGCCTCACGGGCGTTCTTGGGTCCACGGAGGAGGAGGGTGTTGGATCCAGTGGGGGAGCGGGTGGCAACCTCGTCGATGGTGAGAGTCTCACCACCAGCCTTCTCAATGCGCGCGCGAGCGGAGGCAGTGAAGCGGAGAGCCGCAACGGAGAGCTTGGGGAGCTCGAGCATGCGGTTGTCGTCAGTGACGGTACCGACCTGATCCTGAGTTAGCTAGTCATCGGGTGTTTGGTATTTGGAAGCCGTACGATGACAATGGTCTTGCCGTCGTGTCCCTTGGCGTTGGAGACAATCTTGGAGAGCGAGACCGGCTATATCATGTCAGTGGTCATGTCGACAGGCTTTCGTGCCATTGGCGTCTTACGGGACGGTTGGTCTTGGACATCATGAGGCGTCGCAGAACGGTCTTGTTGAAGGGGGCATCGGTGCGGCCTGTTCGCAGTTAGCACAGATTGTGTGCGCGATTCCAGTTGGATAACTTACGAGCCAGGAACTTGTACAGACGCACCAACAGCTTGACGTAGGGGTTGGTGGACTTAGGGACCTCTGTACACTCGTCAATCTTTCTCCTCTCTCGGGCTCATGTTGCGTCTAAAAGACTGCTATCGCCAGCGCATTTCTGCGCCGACTCGACGGGGGGTTCACATACTGCGGTGCCCGTCTCGAACATGGTGGCGGTCGAGGTCAATTCCCATTTTGACTGATTTTGAGCGTGTTGTGCTGGGGGTTAGTAACGACTGAAGAAGTGAAGTTCTTGCGAACACGAAATTGCGAAATAGGCCAGACTTGGCGTGGTGTGGCCCGTGCGAAGCGAGGACATTTCAACTCCACCTGCACGCGCCTCCAAAGTGCCCTCGCTAGCGCTGGTCAGCATCTCCGCTGGATCTACAAATGGTAGACGCCGTTTGAGACCCTTGATTATCATTCTTGGGTGAGATTTTTTGCATTGCCAGTAGTCGTGCCATGTGGATTGATGCAGGATGTGGCATGGGAAAGGGAGACATGAAGTGAAGCTTGAGAAATCCAAGAAATACGTCCTCTTCAATCTCTACCTTAAAGCTGATTGACTGAATTGGGTTATTCACTACACTTCAAGTTGCATCTCATTACACAAAAAGAATAGTTTGCTTCACAAGCATTATCATTATGTGGCTAGAAGGTATATACCTTTCGCTCGCAGTCGCTGTGAATGCCTGCAAGATCTATATCCGACAAAAACGCATCACTTCATCGTTTCCCTGTTGTGCCCAAAGCTCCATCCTGAATCAACAAGCTTCCCAAAGCAGGCTCACTCAGGCTGAGAGAAACCCACTAGTCTATATGTATCATACCAATCACCATACACCTCGAGCCTGCTCCAAGTTGACAATAAAAAGACAAGAAAAGAAGAAGAAGGTGCGACATGGTAGTAAAGTGCATCGACAGGCGTGTGTAAGACTTCTGATAGCGTGCACCGGTTATTGAAAAGCGCTTTATACAGCCTTGTCGCCAATGAGCTTGCCGATACCGTTGTAGACCTGGTTGGTCGACTCAGGGGCATAGCGTGGTCCAAGGGAGCCAAAGATCAAGAACATGGAGATGATGACGGCGGAGAAAACCATGAGCTTGCGGAGAACAGGCCTGCTGTGGCCAAGCTCTTGCCACTTCATGCTACCCTGGCCGAGGTACTCCTTGAGCTTCTCACCACCAAGCTTGTAGTAGACGAGGCCACCAAGCGCAATGCTGTAACCAAAGGCCTGGAGGAGACTGACGGGGTCCTTGAAGAGGAACATGGACGCGAAGACGAGGAGAATGTCCTTGAGTACACCGGAGAGAGTGAGGACGAGCGACGAGGTCTTGCCAATCTGGAAACTTGTGAGCGGGTGTTTTGTGCAGGTGAGAACAATGAACGTACTAGGAAGACGACCGAGACGTTGAGCAAGAAGGCAACGGAGGCGTTGGCCAACAGGGTGAAGAGACCAACGCGGTCAATGTCAGCCATGGTCATCGAAGGGAGCTCAGTGAAGAGCAAGATGGCACCGTTGATAACAGCGCAGGCGGGGGCGTAGTAGTAGAGGGAGACGAGGGGATCCATCTTGAAATCGGCGCCGCTGAGCAGACGCTGGACCATGACCAAGCGGATAGCCTCGAAAGCGATACCAGCAGCCTGAAACAGGAAACCAGTCATGACAAACTTGATCTCACCCATCGAGGCAACAACGACACCAATGACAATGAAAGACACGTTTCCGAGCGTCTTCAGATTGACAGGCGAAACACCGAGACCCCAGGTGGTAAGCAGGACAGCGACGGGCATAGTAGCCTCGTAAAGTTAGCATCCATGTGCTGACTGCAGAATCATGTCAACATACCTTGAGCATCTGAATAAAGGCCACACTCAGGTACAGGTAGGCCTGGTTACCGCAGATCAAACTCATGCTGAAGAAGATACCAATAGGGACAATAGCTCGCAGATAGACACGGCCGTTCATGGGCACCTTCTTTCTTGAGTCGAGGATAGTGGTGCAGCGAGCGAGGATTTGCGTCATGACAGTCGCAAAGACCAGATGCCATGTTGTAAGGAAGATTGGAAAGTCTGTAATGGGATCGCTGTCAGTATGCGCTTGTGGGACAGGGGCGGGAGGTAGACGTACGGAACTTGGCCGTGTCGAGGATGTACTTGTTGAAGACGATTGTGCTGGAGCTGAGCGTGATCCATGTGCTGCGTATCGATTAGCGTGCGTCGTGGAGAGGGCAGTGGTGTGTGAGGCATACGCAATGTAGACGGCGGGATGGAAGGTTGGCGGCTCAGGTGCGGACTTTTGCGCATCGGGGTTGACGGTGGGCAGGACTGGCAGAGCAGTGTCGCGGGAGGCCTCGACCGAGGACCTCACCTTCTCGTCTTGAGACATGGCTGGGGGTGGGGGTGGGTAGCTAACGAGGGACTGTGGAAAGGTAGAAGGGGAGAGAGAGGGAGGCAGAGGGGATTGTCGGTGGCGGAGGTCGAGGAAGAGATGCGGCGATCGGGGGTGGGAGCAGAGTTGTGGTTGAGGTTACAATGATGGGCGGGCTAGCGCCGCTGACTGATGAGGGTCTTGCGCGTCAAGGGTACAGTGAAACGGTGCAACACAAACGTGGCACAGGGTACAGGTCTTGGGCGAGGGCTCTGCGCACTGGAGGCAACAAGGAGATGAGGAGCGACAGAATTGTTGGGAGGAAGCGTAAATGTGATGGTAATGCGTTAGGCGCTAGTGAAGAGAGGGGCGGAGCGGAAATTCAGCCAGAGGAGCTTGTAGAACGGGGGCGCACAGGGGGTGCGTCTGCCTGTACCCTACTGGGCAACGGTCGACTACTTATTGTACTCGCGCCGATAGCAGGCAGCATGACGCTTCCGTCGCGGCTGTGATGGCGACGTGAAACGGATCTGCTGTGGAGCTGGGCATTGGACGCGCAATCGGCCTGCTTTGCGAGCCTTGGTTCTGGCGGCGAAATTTTGAGCCGCGCAGGGCAGCGCTGTGGGTGTGGGTGTGGGTGAAGGCGTACGTACGCGTACCGTGGCCGCCCTGCAGAGCCGCTTTACATTACAGGCGCAGGAGACAAGGTCCATGACGCGCGACATGGCAAAAGGGCAGGCCTAGCGACACACAAATGGCCGTGGCAAGCCCATGCAATAGGGGGCATGCATGTTGTCGTTGAGCAATCCGTACACGCTTGATTACACCGTCGCACTAGCACGACACGCAGCCCGTGGCCCGTGGGCCGTGGATCTGAAGCTGTAGTTTCCAAGAGATAGACGCCATTGCCCGCCTAGTCGGCTGAGAACATGGTACGGTACACACACAAACGCACACGCACACATGCACATGCCGTCAGTATACTTACATGCTACATGTCCAAGTAAGTACACAGCATTACGCCCCGCCTGGTGATACCTTGTTCCCACCGACGGGAGTGTGCATTGGGGGAGCACAGCACAGCACAGCACAGCATAGCATCACCCGCTGCCGTCGCTGCTGTATTCTTACCTACCTCGACACTCGACGTCGTTGGTTAGTGGTGCACACGCGCTATGCGAGCAGCACCCAAAAGGCGAGGCAGGTGTTGCACAAAGTTGGAACCAATCGATGTGGCCACGAGCAGCCACGGTTGCTGCACTGACGGGGCCCCCATGGCGGCCTGCCCCTTTTCTGTCGTCGAGCCTCTCTTGGACATGCAGATGCTCTCCAGGCGCCCGCCAGCCCAGTCCTTCGCCGGCTGGCCCCCCCACTCCCTACCCTGGACCCACTTATAACAGTATCCTCCTTGGCGTCCCTAGTTCCTCTCCAGCTACTCTATATTCCTCCCACCCACGCCCCAAGTGTTCACAGGCCACTGCTCCTCGTAGCTTCACACATATACATGCTCAACCTCGCTCGTCAGACACTAAAGCGAGTTCCAAGTTTCCAAGAAATCCTCCAGGGCACCATGGGATCCGCAAAGGAAGAAATGTACGTTCACCGCCCAACCTGCCTTGCTCTTTTCCCCCTCCTCTCCCCCTCCCCCAGACTGACCATGGCAAAGTTCTGTTGACGTGCTCGTCATTGGCGCTGGCCCTACCGGACTGGGTGCCGCAAAGCGTCTCAACCAGATTGTAAGTCTACGCAGTGTATAACACAGTTTTGCCCTGGTGCTAACAACCCCAGGATGGCCCCTCATGGCTGATCGTCGACGCCAACGAGACACCTGGTGGTTTGGCCTCGACAGATACCACTCCAGAGGGCTTCGTAAGTACCCCGCCCGCCAATTGGCTGCTCCTTCCTAACCATGCTCCAGCTCTACGACGTTGGTGGCCATGTCATCTTCTCCCACTACAAGTACTTTGACGACTGCATCGACGAGGCCCTGCCCAAGGACGACGACTGGTTCACCCACCAGCGCATCTCCTACGTCCGCTGCAAGGGCCAATGGGTCCCTTACCCATTCCAGAACAACCTGTCCATGCTGGGCAAGGACGACCAGGCAAAGTGCATGGACGGTCTGATTGATGCCGCCCTCGAGTCTCGCGTGGCAAACACCAAGCCAAAGAACTTTGACGAGTGGATCGTCAGGCAGATGGGTGTCGGCATTGCTGACCTCTTCATGAGGCCATACAACTTCAAGGTCTGGGCTGTGCCCACCACCAAGATGCAGTGCGAGTGGCTTGGCGAGCGTGTCGCTGCACCCAATGTCAAGGGTGTCATGTACAACATCATCCACGGCAAGACTGCTGGAAACTGGGGCCCCAACGCCACCTTCCGCTTCCCCGCACGAGACGGTACCGGTGGTATCTGGATCGCTGTCGCCAAGACGCTGCCAGAGTCCAAGACACGATACGGCGAGAACAGCAAGGTGACCAAGGTCGACGCCGATGGACACAAGGTACACCTCAAGGACGGCACCGTCGTCAACTACAAGAAGCTCATCAATACCATGGCTGTTGACGCCCTGGTCGAGACCATGGGCGACAAGGAGCTTATTGACCTCAGCAAGGGTCTCTACTACTCCACCACCCACGTCATTGGTGTTGGCCTTCGTGGCGAGCGCCCAGAGCGCATCGGCGACAAGTGCTGGCTGTACTTCCCCGAGGACGACTGCCCCTTCTACCGTGCCACCATCTTCTCCAACTACTCACCCTACAACCAGCCGCAAAAGGACGTCAAGCTCGCAACCCAGCAGCTCGCTGATGGCTCCAAGCCCAGCTCCACCGAGCCCAAGGAAGGCCCATACTGGTCCATCATGTTGGAGGTTGCCGAGTCTGGCATGAAGCCCGTGGACCGAGAGAACTTGCTCAAGGACTGCATCCAGGGTCTCGTCAACACCGAGATGATCAAGTCCGATGATGAGATTGTCTCCACCTACCACCGCGCCTTTGACCACGGATACCCCACTCCTTCGCTTGAGCGTGAAGGCGTCCTCACCAAGCTCCTCCCTGCCCTTCAGGCCAAGGACATCTTGTCGCGTGGCCGCTTCGGTTCATGGCGCTACGAGGTCGGTAACCAGGACCACTCATTCATGTTGGGTGTCGAGGCTGTAGACCACGTTGTCAACGGAGCTGTTGAGCTTACTCTCAACTACCCCGACTTCGTCAACGGTCGCAAGAATGAGGAGCGTCGTCTCGTGGACGGTGCCCAGATCTTCACCAAGCCTTCTCTTGCGCTGAGGAACAAGGGTGTTGACTAGACGCATACACAATGAATACTGAGCATGTTATGGATTTTGAGAGATGTTTACAGGATACCACGCTTATTTACGAAAGGGACGGCATGGAATAGGGAGTCGGCGCATGTGTGCATGTTTGGACTCTAGGTAGATAGATAGTTGTTGCATCTGCACAGCATCTAGCCGATGTTGGCAGTGATAAAGGATAGACATTACCTTTTTGCCCAGTCGCGTTTCTCCTTGGACTTGTTATCTTTTGTGATTGTCTTGTCAGTGCTTACTCGCTTCGTACCCCAGCAAGCCCTCCATTTCGACGATCTACAGCATTCCTCCACTTAATTTAACCCCCACTCACCTCATCCCATCCCCCCCACTAACAAGAAGCACATCGCAATAACCACCGACTAGACGACGTATTACGATGACGCAATCACGCAAAATGCAACTTCCACTGGTTCAAGTCATGAATCATGCAATATGCCCCTACTGCTACTTAGATTCGGGATAATTAAAAGAAAGAAACACCATGCCCGCAATCTGCAATCATGATTTTCGCGCCCAGTGAACAGGTTCATTCGGTCCGACTACACATGGATAAAACGAAGCAAGACGCGCGCCCGCCGAAGTGATTGCGGATTTACTACAAGTCGAGTAAAGTCAAAAAGATTTTTATTTCCTTTAAAAAAAGGAAACTTTGCAACTGAAAACGGCAAATCCGGTATGAATTTGCGTGTATATGCTAATCTATGTTATTTGACTACTACTACTACTACTACTACTACTACTACTACTACTACTACTACTACTACTACTACTACTACTACTACTACGACGTGAGAGAAAAAAACTGATGATGTGGCGCGCGATAAAGCATCTGTGCTTGTATATACACACTAAGTATTTGTGGGGAAAGCAAAAAGATTTGTGTGTAAAAATGGAGGGATGAGCATGCAAATGTGACGCGTAAGTCTCGGGTTATTTGGGTGGCGGTTTATTTTTATACATTGTGTCTCATGCGCCTTACATTATTCTCGATTTAGTAATATGGGAATTTTTTTTCTTGGGGCGTGGTTTGAAGTTAATGCTGGTTTCGGGTTTGATATGGAGTAGAATGAATGAGATTGAGTGAGGGGAGAGGTGATCGGAGATGCATGGGTATGTGTGTAAGTGCGGAATGCGGGATGCGGTGAGGAACAAAGGGTACACGTGGAGGGATGTTTGCGTGTCGGAGTATGAGGCTTTTTTTTTGGTGAGGCCCGGGATCGTCGATCTTCGGTATCGCTGCTTTATCTTGATAGATATGGAGAGCCAAGAGTTTGGAATGTAGTATGTAATCTTAATGGTGCAGTTACTACGTAATCACGTGATTACTACTTGATTCAGGTACGTACACTACAACAGAGTAGTGGCTACGTGTATCTCATGCCTTACTCGCCCTAAACTTCCTCAAAATCTCCCTCTCTTCTTCGTTTTGCGCAATGCTCTCCTCGTCACCGACAGGTAGGCGCTGGTGTTTCCACTGCCTGCCTCCAGCCCCGTACTCGGCGCTCACCTGTGCATCGCCTACAATTACCCATTTGTATATCGTCAGGCCTTCTAACCCGACAGGCCCTCGCGAGTGGATCTTGTTCGTGCTGATGCCGACTTCAGTCCCAAATCCATATCTCTGCCCATCAGCCATGCGCGTAGACGTATTCCAGTATACGCTAGACGAGTCCACGGCTGCAAGAAAAGATTTGGCCGTGGCTTCTGATGTAGTCAAGATAGCGTCGGTATGGTGAGATCCGTGTGTATTGATGTGAGAAACAGCTTCTTCAACATTTGAGACGGTCTTGATGGCAAGAATGTAGTCCAGAAACTCGGTATCGTAGTCTTCTGGTCCTGCTTCTTGCAGTAGCGCTGCCGAGTGGGGATCTAATTTGCCTTTGAGTGCGACCAGTGACGCATTGTCGCAACGAAGAGAGACGCCCTTTTGTAAAAGTGCTTCTGCAATGATGGGCAGACTGGTGCTGAGGGCTCCTTCCTCTACAAGAAGTTGTTCAAGTGCATTGCAACCTGCAGGATAACTCGTCTTTGCATCAAGGATGATTTTGGTAGCTTTGTCTGCAGGGTAGTCTGAGCATAGATAGGTGGAGCATATGCCGTCAGCGTGGCCGAGAACCGGGATCGTGGTCGTGTCTTTGACATAGCGAACTAGTTTGTTGCCGCCACGGGGAATACATAGGTCGATGTAGGTGTCTTGTTTGAGGAGGTCGGCAATAACATCATGGGTCTGAACTAGTTGGAGACAGTCTGATGGTACTGCAGTTGACGCCAAGGCCTTTGAGATGATGGATGCAATTGCTGCGAAGCTGTTGCTGGATTCGCGGCCACCTTTGAGAATGGCGGCATTTCCAGACTTAATTGCAAGCGCGGAAATGTTGGCAATGACTTCGGGTCGTGCTTCGAAGATGATGAGCAGTACGCCAATTGGACACGTGATTCGCGACAGGACCAAATTGTCGTCAAGCAGTGTCTTCGCAGTTGTCTTGTTGATGGGGTCTTCCAAGTCTCGCACATCCAGTATGCCCTGGAGCATATCCTCATATTTGCCTGGCTTTCCCAGATCCAACCTCTTTACCAAGCTCGCGCTGAGCGTGCCTCCTGCTGCAGCTTTGTTGGCAGCCTCGAGGTCCTGAACATTGGCGGCTAGTACTTCATCCTTGGCATTCGCCAGTGCATCGTGGATGGCTGTCAGGGCCGCATTCCGCTCGTCGGTAGATAGGACGGCCAGTTTCCGGGACCCGAGTCTAGCTGCCTGTGCAACCTCGAGCGGTGTGGCGTTGGTCAGAGACATTTCTTCTCTTTGGGGATTGCTTTTGCCAGGTGGTGGTGGTGAGATGTGGTAAAATGGCCAAAGTCTTCGGATGCGTGTGACTCAAATTCAATATTGATGGAGTGACGAGGGGCCTAATGCCGGTTATGCAGGGTCTGTTTCCGCTGCAGATGCTATTGGAGATCCGACTGCGGGTCGTACATGTGTGGAGATGGCGAGGAGGCCTAAAAAAAGCGACAGGACTCGTGGTGGGATGAACGTGGTGGTGTTGCGGGGTCTAGATGCATGACGCCACACCCGCCCGCATGCGAACCAGGGTGTTCTCCTCTTCTCACACCAACCACTACCACCCTGCTGACTGCGCTCTTATTACTTGCATCCTGGATCGCTGCCCAACTCGATCGCTGACAGCTTTCGATAAGTTACCGGCTTCGTCATAGGCCGGGGCTCTGGACGCGCACCAAGATTGCGTGTTGGCAGCAGCGTCTGGCGGTCGAGTGCTCGGCAGGGGTTTGGTGTGGCTGGGTGCGCCTACCAACCACCTCGGCGTCGCCTTGCCAACCTCGCCCAATTCCATCCACTCCCGTATTGCAACAAGCAAGCCTGACCGCACTATCCCAGTTTCACTTGCAGCCAACTACGTAGGTCACCGCTCAGAGATGGCTGGGACTCTACAAAAGCTGCAGGGTCGCCGGCCACAGGGCCTGCCACCTCTGCACACTGTTTCCCGACCGCCTCTCAAGTGCTGAGAAGGTACCCTGTCGCACTTTACCTTCACGGTACTCACGTGCATACCCGCCAGTGCGCCGTAGACTGCTGTACCGTTTTTTACGACCACTCGTTTGACTGCATCCGTCCTCCAATATATCTCACACCACTATCGCTATCGACCGTCACCTTTACTAAGATGCGCTCTACAACAAGGGTCCTTGCAGCTCTGCTCTCAACTGTCTTATACGTTCCCTCTGCAGCACAGACATGGTCCAACTGCAACCCGACCCTACGAACCGACTGCCCTCCGGACTCCGCGCTGGGAAGAACCGTAGACATTGACTTCAGCTCAAAGTCCGACAGTTTCACACCGCAGGGCAACCCAACCTATGGCTCCGATGGTGTATCCTTTACCATCTCAAAGGCTGGCGATGCGCCACAGCTCACTTCGCTATGGTACATAATGTTCGGCAGGGTAGACATTCAACTCAAGGCTGCCCCAGGCGCGGGCATTGTTAGCAGCTTTGTCTTGCAATCCGACACTCTTGATGAGATTGACTGGGAATGGCTTGGTGCAGATCCTGATGAGGTTCAGTCAAACTATTTTGGAAAAGGTAAGATATGATCGAGTTTGTCGAGCCATGCACACATCAACTTTTAAAGTCACTTGCTAACAGCCCATCCAGGTCAGACAACCGACTACAACCGCGGTGCTTTCCATTCAGACCCCGGTAGCCAGTCAAACTTCAAGACGTATACAATCATCTGGACACCAGAGCAGATTGTATGGCAGATTGACGGAAAGACTGTGCGTACTCTTGAACCTGCCAATGCCAACAACCAATACCCCCAAACACCTATGCAGGTCAAGTTTGGCTCCTGGAGCGGTGGTGACCCAGCGAACCCTGCCGGTACTATCTCTTGGGCTCGTGGTCCTACCGACTACTCCAAGGGACCTTTCACTATGACTGTCAAATCCCTCAAGGTCCAGGACTACTCCACTGGTTCCCAGTATATCTACGGTGATCAATCTGGTACCTGGAAATCCATCAGGTCCAACGGCGGTGCCATTTTTGCGGGAGGTAAAGCTCCAATTGGGGACGCACCAGCAGTCACCGCAACAGCTAATGGCGCTCCTCTGCCTTTTGCTCCTCACCAGACCAACGCCGAGCGCCCCAGCGTTTACCCCTGGATTCCTGACCCGAACGCTACTCCCACTCCTCAGCCCACGTTTGCAAACTACCCTGGCCTTCCGAGTGGGTGGACTGTTTCCAATACCGGAAAGGTGATTCCACCCAGCTCAGCCACTGTCAGTAAGCCATTTCTTCAGCAGTTCCTCCACTTTGCCAACAGTATACTGACTTGACTTTTGTAGATGTCCCCTCCAGATTCCTCTATCTCATCGCCGCAAGCTTCGCCTACGGATTCCTCCGGCAATGGGCCTAAGACTGTAACCGGCTACGACGACCGTGGCTTCACGACAATTCGCACAATCTACCCCGAAGCCACGCCAGCACCCTCAGGCAACGGACCACAGGGCAACGCTGGGGAGGCAGTCCCTGCCGCCCCCTTGGCAGCAAGTTCTTGGACCCTCGTCCTCTCGAGCATACTGCCCTGGGCAATCGTACTCCTCCATATTCCAACCTGCCTCGGCTTCTAGGCGAGTTGGGAAAACGTATGGTATACCGTGGACTTCGGACCAGCCTACTCTATTCTCGGTGCTGGTATCGTCGCGATGTTTGCATGTCTAATGAAATGCGTTACGAAGGGGTATATTGGTTTCAAAATCTCCATCAAGTTGTGGGCAGGTCCTTGGCCTGACGCAAGCTGGAAGTGGAACTACAAGTTTAAGGGCAACAAGGAGACGGAAGCGACGTACAGAGCCATGTGGACGTTGCTTCGGCGGTTCGTTCTTGGGGCTTGATTTGTTTTTTGTTTTGTTTTATTGCATAGCGCTTGGTTTTGGTATTTGAGCGTATTGGCTTTTTGGTTTGTTATAGCATATCTGCGGGCGATTGAGCCGACTAGGCTGCGGTTGATGTGGATTCCTTGTCTGCTTTCAAACGAGATTATAGAGTATAGGAGACGATGTCATGTCGTAACGTAATGAACTTATTATAGTGTATCATCGGCATTGTCAACATTGACATATTATTGTGCCTAATAAGTCGTTAAAGAGATACCGTCTGATGGGTCTCGATTGCTTACTTCTCTCGCCTAGCAGGTCTTCAAATACACCATCTTCAACATTCACTCTTATTCCCCAATCAAAGGTCATTCCAAACAAAAATCCCGTGCATTATTTTTTGGTGAAGTAAAATCAGCAACTCTAATATACAAAAGCAAACGCAAGATTTCAACCACTCTCCCAGAGAGTAAAAAAAAGGACCCCAAACTGCCGAAGCATACCATTATGATTTTCTGATTCCTCTTCTTGGTTTTTCTGCCCTAACATACCGTACTCCTCCATTAGATTTGATTGAGTGGGCGGACCCTTTGAATTGAAACTTTTTTCTGCGCTTTTGAACCGTTTCGAGGCGAGATGATGGATGTAGGAAGAAAAAAGTGTTTCTCCCCTAACCGTATGGCATACCTTGATGGTGAAGAAACAGTAGCCGTATTAACTCCACGCTCTCTGGGTTCTCATCCAAGCAACAGTCTCCGAGTTCTTTTTATGTTAGGTGAGGAGGAGTTGGACAAGGAGGTGAGAAAAGTTGTTTTTCTCGTTCCTTTCCTGCTTCTTCTCCTTTTCAATCCAAGCTTGTGATTCCAAGAGCCATACTTCTCTCTTTCTCCACTCTGTGAAGCTTCTCGCCTGCAGATCATCGATACCAACGACGGTTTAACCGCCACGGCCACCATACGGTTGGTGTCTGAAGCCGCCGCCTCCACGGTGGCCTCCGCCACGGTAATTGGCGCCGCGGACACCAGCGTTCTTAGGACCAGTGGGAGCATTGATGGGAGCCTGACCGCCGCCAGAAGGAGGTTGGCTGGACCCCTGACGAGAGCGGTTGTTTCTGAAGCCACCACCGCCACGGCCGCCACTAGGTCCAGAGGGGACGTTGGGCGGAGGTGCGTCGTCGTACATGCCGTCCCAACTTGCTGGGCCGCCGCCCTGTGCCGCGCCGTAGCCCGCGGGGCCAGAAAGTTGTTGCTGGCGACGAGCTTGCTGTTGCTCGTATTTTTGCTGTTCAAAAGCCAGCTGGTCTTGTGCCGTGTATGCTGGGCGAGGACCGGCGTTTTGTCCGCCTTGAGCATTCATCATGCCTGGGCCTCCGGGTCCGCCTGGGCCACCTCCACCTTGCATCTGTTGCATCTGTTGCATTTGCATCTGCTGCATTTGCATCGGATTCATGCCGCCAGGGCCACCCATCATCTGTGGGTTTGGCGAGCCAGTGCCACGGTTCATGCCTTGGTTCATCATCTGCTGTTGCATCTGCTGCATCTGCATCGGGTTCATGCCGCCCATTCCACCCATGGGGTTACCCGGCATACCACCACCGGCCTGTTGTTGAGCGAGCGTTTGCTGCATAGATTGAAAGTATTGCTGCATCCGCTGCCAGTACTGGGCCATCATAGCCGGAGACATGGCAGTGTTGCTGCCTTGTGCTTGCATGTTTCCTCCCCCGTTCTCATAGCCGTTCCCTCCACCCTGACCACCATTTCCGCCATCGTTGAACTTGTTGATCTTGTTGCCGCGACCGAACTTCTTGTTTCCATCACCCCCATCGTCGTCGCGCATGTTTCCGCGAGGCTGGGCGCGCTTGACTTCGATTTGCTTGCCGAGAATCTGAAGTGGGCCGCGTAGTGTAGCATCTACTGCCGCATCGCCGTCAAAGGTAACGAAACCGAAGCCACGAGGGCGGCCCGTTTCCTTGTCCATCATGAGTGTAGCATCGACGACACGGCCAAATTGCTTGAAAAAGTTTGTAAAATCTTCCTCTGTTGCTTCTTGGCTAACGCCGCCAACAAAGATCTTGCTGGTTCGCTCTTGTTCTTCACGAGGAATAGCCCGCTTTGGGTCAATCTGATCATTGTTAGCGAATAGTTTTCATTTGGATTGGTGGTTGACATACGATCTTGCCGTCTAGATAGTGCTCTTTGACCATGACGATGTTGACGCATTTGGGGTCCTTGAAGGTGAGGAAGCCAAAACCTCGAGATCGGCCAGTGGCAGAATCGCGCATGACAGTGCACTCGCTGACCTCACCAAATTGTGAGAAATAGCCCTTAAGGGAATCTATGTATCGGATATTAGTACTAATTCAGTGGTATTACTGGCCGCAATGGTTACAAGGCTGACAAGTAGCAGTTCTCAAGATGAAAGACTAGGAACTACTCCTAGCTCGTCAAGCCAATAAACGTACCTTCAGTAGTCTCCCAGTTCAGACCTCCGATGAACATCTTGCTACAGATGGTGTCAGTACGTCAACATTGAGATGGTGGATAAAAACAAGAGTACAAAGGGGGCATTGAGACGCATCACAGGTTGTCGACCAGCGGTATCCAAAGGCCATTCGAGATGAGTAAACAGTGAAGATGATAGACCAACAACTCGACATCTTGTAATGTCGAAAAGGTACAAGGGTAGTGATCGCCACATGTATGCGCAAAGTCACTGGGCTCCAGTAATGTAACCAACGTCCAGAGGAAGGTGTATGACAAGGGTCTGTGGCGGGCGAAGCGGGGAGAAGCGCATGGTTTCGGATACGGCGTATGGTTCGTCCAGTAATATCGAGATAGCCAGACTATAATATACCCTGGCGGTCCTGAAGGCGTGGAAAGGCAAGTTGAATGTATTGCCTGTTTGTGTTGGCGATTCAGACACAAGATCGAGGTACCATCGTACCCTAGAACATATAGTCTCGGTGATTTTAGGTACTTTGCATTCAGGCACCCTGGCTGTCCGATGTTGGTTGTGATGATGACCGAATACAGAACTTAAGCGAAGCCATGTCCAACGCCGCATCCTAATCCCAACATGTCGAATCTTGTGGCGTAGACCAATCATGCAGACTAGCAACGCAAACCACGTACTCAAGATCGACATTTCGAGGTTCAAAAGTAGCCCTGCAAAGGCACAGTATGGTTCGGATGAAGCGTCTGTGTTTTGCTATGGATTCGAGTGCAGACGTCTGAGAAAGACATTCTTACAACTCGGTAGCTATCCTCTGCTTGCGTTGCTGGTACGCGCTATCAAGTACCTAGGTATATATCGACATGAGGCGCTGCCAACGTTCGGGCAAGCCACAAGAGTCCTCGCGAAAGGCGCGTTGATAGTTGTTTCTGAGTATCGCAGAGCCGTTGACCCGTGTCTTCCAGCTTCTTCCAACAACCAAGCTTGACGGCCCAACCCGTCATATTCAGAACGCTCGCCAAATGGGCGACGCAGATTGCAAATCTTCGCATCTTGTCAAGATCCTAAGCCTTCACACCAGACTGGCCAGTCACGACCCAAGGCGCTCTTGGATAATGCAAGCGCATGAGAACGTCTAGGGCATGCTCCATAATCATGCGCCTAGAGAAATCAAGCAATTAGTGTACCCTTTTGTCGCTGTCTGATGTCCCAATACTACTTTTCATGCGGCCGATTATAATTTTGATCCTTATAACGGTATGTTGTTCGGCAGGTGGATGAGATTGTATCTTGTACGTGTGACTTTACCTTGTGATGCGCCTCTAGGATATTAATACGATATCAAGCATACATGACTTACCCGTCTTCTTTTACGTTTATAGGTCCATAGTTGTCATCTTCCGCAGGTGCGTTATCAAAGGACTGTTCGCCTCCGGCATTGAAGCCAGATTGGCCCATCTGTGTGTCCTCGCCTGCCGCACCTTGGGCTGCCCAAGATGCTTCAGCATTTTGGTTGTGATTCTGAGTAGCATCCTGAGGTGGCGCGCTCGCAGATTCGGTTGGTGCTGGCTCTGGCTCGGCTTTGGGAGCAGGTGCAGATGCCGCTGGGGCTTGTTGCGACGTGGGCTCATCGTCATAACTGGCTGGTAGTTAGCATGGCGCAAAATGGCGTCACAGAGTAGCTGAACGCATCGCATCCGGGTCTTACAGATCGTCAAAGATATCGTCCTCGTAGTTCTCGTCGGCCATTGCAGCGGCTGAGGTTGAGCTAGAAGTGATTAAGAAGCAGAGTCAGAAAATGACTGGAGTGATGGCAGTCCTTAATTGAGCTCCTGGCGCGATGCTCTGATCAAAAGCTTCGACTACCTGGAAAACTCAGTTAGAGAGGCAGATTGTACAGTCGCAAAGAGTAAGGCGATGGTGTGAGAATTAGGGGATTGACGCGATAGAAGGCGGGTGGGTGATAGTGAAGGGGAGAGAAGAAGAGGCTGCCTGAGGTTGGGAGATGAGAAGCAACGGGCAGTCGCGCTAGTGTGGGTGGAGCTTGGCGTGGCAGGCGCGATGGATGGAAAGCACGAGCGGCAGCGCCGTGGTCGGGCAACTTGGAGCTCGGGGCCTCGCAGCGGGGCGTTGTCGCGACACGATTTCAAGAGACGCATTCGATTCCACCATGGCTTCCAAAAAGCAGCAGCAGGTTTGTGATTCTTCGCCCGTGTATGCGCAAATGCCGAGTATTTCTGACACGTCGCTAGGAAATGGTGCAGGTCGGTTCGTGTCCATCCAAACCACCAAGCGTACATACATCACGATACCCGGGGTAGCTAACACATCGCTTCCCTACACACAGACCGCTCCTCGTACGTTGCTATGCCCGAGCCGCACCCACACCGCCGATATTGACATTGATTGCGCAGTTCTGCCTCGCCCTTTTGGCGCACGACATCCAATACCGCTACCTCGCCTACAAGCAAGAAGGTTATCGGCGCATCATACTCCCATGCCGACATACTCAACTTCAGCTCACTGTATGTTTTCTTGGTACGGCATTCACGTATTGGCGCCTAGACTGACCGTCAAAGGAGCGTCTCTGGGTCGACGTCACGGCCTCGCACCCCGCCATCGGCTACGCATAGTCGCGAGTCGAGCATTGCCCCAGGTCGGTCAAGCAAGACCACATCACCCCGCTCGCGCCCAACATATAGCCACTTTCTCAACGACACACAGCAAGACTGGAACCATGGCGACGACCCAGATGACACCGACAATATGTTTGAAGACGATGAAGACGAATTTGGCCTACCGAGCATTGCAAACATGCGAAGAAAGGGCCGTCGCAAACAGCCAACAAAGCCAAAAGACCCAGGCGGCACCGCTCGCAGGGAGAGTCAGGGCTCGACTGCATGGCGGGCAATAGACAGTGGTGACATAGCCGAAGAGCGAGGCATACCCAACTACCCAACCGCCAAGAAGATTGAAGGAAAGATACTGCGACCGCAATATCAAGAGATCCTACGCGACCCCGCAAATTCTCTACATCTCATCTCACATCCCCCCGTAGACCCGAATGCGTCAGCAAAGCAAATTGAGGAGCACTCGGCCCGAACAACAAGAATCAACAAATTCAAACGCATACTTCAAGCCAGCACCATCTCGCTTTCCGATTTGCGCGACTCAGCATGGTCAGGTGTGCCATCTGAAGTACGCGCCATGACATGGCAGGTCTTGTTAGGATACCTCCCCACCAGTAGCGAAAGGAGGGTTGCGACACTGGAGCGCAAACGGAAGGAATACCTCGAAGGTGTGCGGCAGGCTTTCGAGCGAGGAACTTCTGGTAGTGCAGGCGCTGTCGCCTCTGGTATGGCCGGGGGCGCCTCTTATCCTGCGACAAACCGAGGGCGTGGGCGTGGCCTGGACGAAGCGATATGGCATCAAATCAGCATCGATGTGCCTCGGACAAACCCTCACCTAGAACTCTATAGCTACGAAGCGACGCAGCGGTCGCTTGAACGCATACTATACGTCTGGGCCATACGGCACCCCGCCTCGGGCTACGTACAGGGCATCAACGACTTGGTAACCCCATTCTGGCAGGTCTTCCTAGGTGCCTACATCTCAGACCCCGACATTGAGTCTGGTATGGACCCTGGGCAGCTGCCTAAGCAGGTTCTTGACGCTGTAGAAGCCGATTCATTCTGGTGTTTGACTAAGCTGCTTGATGGGATACAGGACAACTACATCGCCCACCAACCGGGGATCCAGAGGCAAGTGTCAAGCCTGAGAGATCTCACCACACGCATCGATGATGGGCTAGCAAAGCATCTTCAGAATGAGGGTGTCGAGTTCATACAGTTCAGCTTCCGTTGGATGAACTGCCTTTTGATGCGTGAGATATCCGTGAAGAACACAATACGGATGTGGGATACCTATCTGGTATGTATTGTTGACTGAAATACTGACAAATGACTGACGTGTGTTAGGCCGAAGAAGACGGATTTTCGTCTTTTCATCTTTACGTTTGTGCCGCCTTTCTTGTAAAATGGTCGGACCAACTTCGCAAGATGGATTTCCAAGAGATTATGATGTTTTTGCAATCACTACCAACTCGGCAATGGACCGAAAAAGATATAGAATTGTTATTGAGTGAAGCCTTTATTTGGCAAAGCCTGTTCAAGGGTAGCGGTGCCCATTTGAAGAACACTGGCTCAAGAGAGATCGGTGTAGGGATGGGTCCCGACTTTTAGTAGCGCCAATGTTGTAGGTTGGGTAGATAAATCGCAGCTATGTCGAAAGCGCATAGACTGCAGCAAAGTTGTGCACAGGTCTTGCGAGAGTTTCTTCCGCGACTGCCAAAAACAGTGTCAATTCGAGATGCTTGGCGCTTGCTTTTCCGAACAGTGTTTGTTATCTCCGCACTACACCAATATCGGCTCAGGTAATGAGTAGCAACGGGGAACAGAAGCTACCCCGCCCTTTACCCCACTATACGTCACTTTGCCTATGCCTTGGACTGAGACGCATAAAGTATCGTACTCTGCCTAGTTCCATTACTCGAATGCCGAACCCGAATCACCCGGGTTTTCGAACAGTACTGCTTCGACTAGATATTACAGAGGCCAAGAGCAACTTCCAAGATCTCCAATGGCACCACCACCTCGCCCTCCATTCACCGAGCTTCCGCTTGACAAGAGCGGTCCTCCAGGAAATGCATGGGGTCTCTACGGTGCCAATGATGAACTTGGTGCCCTCAATATGATCACTCCCTCTGTTGTCAAAGCCGCCGCACAAGAAATCCAAACCGGCGACCGTGTATCTCTGGACTGGTATCTTAATCTGCCATCCCACCCGTCCTTCAACCGGCCATCATTCTCTTGGACTATGAAAAACAAGGAGCATCCAGACGGGACGAAACGAACAGTAAATGACGATCATGTGGATTTCAACACTCAGGGAAGCAGTCAGTGGGATGGTTTTAGACATTACGGATATCAAAGTGCGAAGAAATACTACGGCGGACGCTCACAACAAGATATTGAATCGTCGCAAGTCATCGGTATCGACCGTGTAGCTAACTCGGGCGGTATTACGACCAGAGGCATCATCCTAGACTATCCACGCTATCTCGAGAAGAAAGGCGAAAAGCAAGTGAATTCACTGGAGGCGCATGGCATCACTGCAGACGTGCTGAGGGACATGTTGAAGGACGTGGGCGTTCAGTCAAGAGAAGGCGATCTGCTCTTGCTGAGAACAGGCTTTACTCGGGATTACAACAAGCTCAGTGAAGCCGACAGAAAAGCGATCAAGGACAAGCCACCAACTTTCCTTGGTGTTCAGTCCGACAAGCAGAGTTTACAGTGGATTTGGGAAAGTGAATTCGCAGCTGTTGGTAAGATCTTCCTCGATCTATGCTCTTTCCTATGTTCAACCTAGTCCATGTCGTTTCCGTTTCTCATATTAAAAGTTCTTTATGTTAAGTGTCTCCTAACCGAATCACAGCATCTGATGCCCCTTCTTTCGAAATGTCACCTTTAGTAGGCCCTCACAACGCCCCCGGCGGCATATGGGCAAACGAGTCCTGGGAAGAAGAGATGCAAGGCGGTGGGTTGTTGCATCAATGGTTACTTGGTGGTTGGGGGGTTATGATTGGTGAAATGTGGGACTTGGAGGCACTATGTAATAAGAGCGCAGAATTGGGAAGAAACACATGCTTTGTGAGCAGTGTGCCGCTCAAGGTATGTTGGATCGTCTCTTCTTCTTCTTTTCCCCGTTCTTAGAGGCCACGTGAGTACACTCACGGGAGAGATGGAAGGTGCAAAACAAGGATTTGCTATTTTGCGATACACCACGCAAAGCTAATCATGTTCCATCACAGGTACCGGGGGGTGTAGCAAGTCCACCGAACGCTGTCGCTATCTTTTAATTTGGGTTGTATATTGGAAGAATACACTTGTGGACCTTTATAAACTTTGCCAAGTTCAAGGTAGGTTTGGAAATGGCCTAGTCGACGGCTATATCACAAATTCCGGTAATCTTCCACCAAATTTCTCCGTATATCACTTCTATGTAAGATATACGAGACGGCCCACTTCCCTCCGGATCGCTGCGGAGTGTACAATTTACAATGTAGTGCTGGTCTTAGAAGCAATACTTACACGGGCACACTGCCCTTCACACTCTTTCACACTTTCTTTATTTCCCTCAACCAATTTGGACTAAGTGCGTACACGCTATGCGTTGATCTCGGTGAAGGTGAAGGTTAGTACAATTAGCATTATGTATTGCGGTCATGTGAAAACATGACACACTAAAGCTTACACAAGTTGAACGGACACACATATATAACCATGCAATCCCTGGTATGACCACCTTCATCTTCAGTCCCCAATCTTGAAACAAAGCCAAGCACATATACTTATATACACAACTGGAAAGGGGGGGGGGGGGGTAAAAAGCTTGGAAAGACGCACAGCCACCTTTTCAACCCTGGTTTCAACTTTAAAATAACGTAAGCCCTAACCCTAAATCCAGAGTTGTACACATCTATGGAAACTCTAAACTCTATCGTAAGACTTTAAATGTCCGCCCTTCGTCCATCGTATTTTAGACTTTTGTCTTTTCGCTTCACTTTCCTCATTTCGCCAAGATATACCTGACTTCCACGAAGAAAACAAGATGAAGTACTTCACTCTTGTAACGATAACTACGATTGTTGCTTTTGCGACTGCGCACCCTGCGGCTCAAGGTATTGGACAGTCGGTCGTTGCTTGTAGCAGGATTTGTGCTGGGCCTTCGTTGTCATGCAGTGGTGATGAAGTAAGTTAAACATTCTTTTTCTTGTTTTTCGGTTTTCGCCTCTCCTTCGTACATGCTTTATGTTCCGTTACATGCGCGCTATACTGTTCAGAAAGCTAACGTCGTGGCAGTTTGTCCAGCATACTGGTGTAAGTATTGCTATATTCCATGCGGGAGAGACTACGTTGAACGCGCAAACAACGTGGGGTGGAGAGTAGTAGACTGGACGACCCACAGAGAGAAACCTTTCAAACCCAAGCGCATAGTAAATGGGTTCGAAATAACTAACATATCGTATAGGACTGCTACACTTGCTGCCGACAATCGTAGTTCCCTCACGGTTTCCTGATGGCGTGCACTGGTACTACCGCCACACGATACAAGCCCTATGACAGAGGGTTTTATGCATGCATACCATGGGTCAAAAATACACCTGCATTCTTCTTCGTACATACTACCCGACTTAGTTTCGAAAACTGTGTATATTGGATTCTGTACTTGAATAACAAATTGTCCGACATCTCAAGTAGCAATGGAACAATCTGCTATCAAAGCTTACCCCAATGTTCATTACAGTAAACCCATCATTATGGCTATGAAATAAGATAAAGGTTCTACGAAATGAACCGTCGCCCCCAGAGCCAGAAACAGTATCCACCACTCTCCACTCTTCCTCGATGTACCTGCCATACGCCCTACACAGATCCAAAACTCGAACTAGAAACGAATTTTCCAGACATATGCGGCGACATGTGCATCTAGCTCTTTTTTTTGAATATTCTAACCATCAGGCATATGTGGTATTTTCCTATTTTCCATCTTTGGCGCGAGAGAACGGAATTGAAACTGTATTTTGGTGTGTAATGGTGCTGACGTGAGGGATATATTGTTAACTGGTGGAAGGTTGATATGCTCGTTCATCTATCGTAGCTATGCTGGACGTGTTTACGGGTTGAAGAGGGATAAGGGGACTACTAGCTGCAAGTTGCGGTTTTCGTGGTTTGATTTACTAAATAGCGTGTGTGGTTATGTGGGAATTGACGATGAAAGTGTGAGAGTTTATGTCGTTGGTATAGGATAGAGTGATGTAAGTGGGGTGGTTTGCTGGGAAGAGAGACTAGAGCGGTAGCGGTGGGAGCGAGCTGTGATGAAAGAAAAGGGTATTCTTACTAGATGATTTGGGTGGGCATAGGTATGGAAATAATTCTTTACTCCGCATGATCTATGAGTTCCTGTGAGAAGTTTTTGGCAGAGCCAGGCGTCTGTACAATCTGACAACATCCATGATGCATTCTCCAGCTCTAAGTATCTAATCTCTATCATGTCGAAATCCATACTACTATTTGACCAGAAAAAATCGCTCAAAACATTGTCGGTATAATTACCTTCACCTCGTCCATCCAAATCTCAGGTATAACGCTCAACCTGCTGCTCGTTCCACTCCCAAAACGCCTTTGCAGTCTCCTTTCCCTCCTGACCCCAGTAGTCCTTTCTCAACGGCATCACGCGCCCAAAAGGCACAACCCACTCGCTCTCCTTCAGCTTCGCAGCTTCGGGCGCCAAACTCGCAAAAAGTTCCGTATACGCACCGTTCACAGGCGGATGCAATATGAACTTAATGATCATCTTCTGCCACGCAGGTATATGCCTGGTAAGTTCCGTCCTGAGATTTCCAGGATTGAGTGGCTGAGTAAGGGGGAAAAACGTCAGTGAAAAAATAACTAAAAGCAATACACACACACACATGTAAGGAGCCGATCTAGATCGAAGGCAAACATGAAAATAGAATCCCTGGAGGTAAGACGAAAAGATATGAGGGAAAAACTTACAACACTGACCACCCCCTCTGCACCATACCTTCTCTGAAATTCGAGAGCTTGCAAAATGTTCCCCCCTTTACTAATCGAATACTTCGTGGTCGGCCCAGCATTCTTCTTATAGTCCAAATTCTGCATATCCACCCCTCCCTTTGGCGCAGCTACATCTGCCAACGAACTCGACACCCACACCACCCTTACACTCTCCGCAGGTTCCTTCTTCGCCGTCACAATCAGCAGCGGAGTAAGCAGCTTAGTGAAAAGAAACGGGGCAACGCAGTTAGTTCCGAGCTGTTGTTCGTAACCTTGTTTTGTTGTTGAGCCTTGCGGGGTCATCATGACGCCTGCGTTGTTGATGAGGACGTCTAGACGGGATTCCTGGGCGAGGAACTTTTCAACAGAGGGTTTTATGCCTTCGAGGTCGTTGAGGTCGAGGTGGACATGGCTTAGTTTGCCTTTGGAGGATGGGTGTTGCTCTTTGATCCACTCGAGCGCTGCTGTTGTTTTGTCCAATGAGCGCGCGGCGGCGTATATGGTATCATTGCGCGAGTAGAGGAGGCGCGCCAGTTCTTTGCCTACGCCAGTGGAGGCGCCGGTCACGAGGAAGACCTTGTCTTTGAGGTCGGGCAGCGAGTCTTCAGTGAAGGTAGGTGCTGGGGGGAACACCTGGCTTAATTGGTTACCCAATTTGACTCGAAGTTTCCTGGACGGATCGTATATTGATGGTTAAGCTTGTGAGATGATGTTGATGGCCTTGAGAATGTACTTAAATACCATATCCCCTGATTTTCGGAAGGTCCGGCTCTTCTCGTCCGCTAGAAACGGCCCATTACAAAAAAGTTGTCAGGTATCACCTCAGTTGGCGAATCCAATAAAGATAATTAATCTTAGATGACCGACTACATTTGCCGACCTTCATGGCATGTAGTTAGTTTCCTCAGAGAACGTTATGGTAGGGGATCGAGCGTAAAGTGGGCCCATTAGCGTGACTGGAGAGCCTAGCTTTGACCGGCGGAGAAGGAGATGTGGAGGTGCAAGGATACCACCAGGGTGCTGTCCGGTCATCTGCCTGGGAGCTAAACGCATAGGTCTGTTTTTTTTGGGAAAGCTTGAAATGTGGAGTATCGAAGTCGGATCTGGAATGAACCACATCGTTTATATACAAGCTGGAAGTAGAGTCAACACTCGATACAATCACAAAGCCGAGAATCAGCAGTGGTAAGGCAGCAATTTCGAGATGACTGCAACTCAGTTGGAAGTGCTAGAGGATACTTTGATGGTTTCCGGACATGGTAAACATTGGATATATCTTGTTTGTATCTCTTCTACACATACTGCCTGAACATAATTCACTCTTGGACCCAGGGCCTATTTCTTGCTGGTCTTTCCCATAGCAAGCAGCGCATCCTGGTCACTGATACCAGCCAGTTGTCCTTGTTGCGCACGCTTGACCGTAAGCGCAGCAATGAGCGCAGCACCAACACCGGAACCGTCCTCGGCAGGTAACACCTCAATAGGATCGTTCTTGCCTTTTCCATACTTGGCTGGCCAGTCCATGATTTCCTTCAGTGCCTGAGCCTGACGGATCTTGAAGTGAGGGTACTTGCTGAATACGGAACCGTCAGCGCCAACATGCACCTCGCTCCATTTCTTGTGCTTGCAGATAGCGGAGACACCGCAGGCAGTCAGACGAGCAGCGCGGGTACCAATCAGCTCAGCAAGTCGGCGGATTAGCTCGAGTTCAGGCTTAGTGCAGGTGATACCAAGCGTCTCCTGAAACAGATCGGCCGTATCTTGCAAATTCTCGAAGCGGTCTTCTTCGATTTGGGAGAGGAAACCAGCATCAAGAGAGTAAGGCTTGTCGAGTTTGCTGGCATTCTGGCCTTCGAACATGGAGCATTCTGAACCCTTGTGAAGATCCAAGAGGACTAGACGGAAGATCTCGCCAAGGTACAAACCTGCAACCATCTTTTCAAAAGTCTGTTGACCCGGCCGAGGCGACTCCTTGTCAATTATAACGTCGTATTTTGTCCGTGGCAGAACTTGGTGTTCGTTGTCAAAGGCGCCCCATTCGCAGTTGATAGCCATTGGCAGTTTTGGGTCCAGGTTCATGTGCTTCAGCTTGGGAATAGCACCACACTCCTCCATGTAGGCAGCGTTGCACCCCGTACCGAAGATGCAACCAATCTTGATGCTGGTATCAGTATATGCTGAGGCAATCATGGTGCCAGTGGTGTCGTTGACCAGTGCCGCGAGCTTGATAGGCACGCCGCGTTCCTCCAGAGCTGCCTTGAATCCAGGCACAACGTCTACACCCTCCATGCCTTGTACGTCGAATCCCTTGGTCCATCGCTGTAGGACACCGTGGTCAATAGCATCTTGGGAGACAGGGTACGAGAAGGTGAAACCGAGGGGCAGATCGGCGAGCTGCTCGCCCTCGTGGTGGTACTCGATGAATTGCTGGAGGCAGTCGGCAACGTAGCCCCATAGCTCATCAGCAGTTCCAGTCTTCAGCTCCTCAGGCATACGGTACTTTGATTGTATAATCTCAAACTCTCCCTTCTCTTCCGTCAGGGTAACCTCACAAACACGTAGGTTCGTACCGCCCATGTCAAGCGCAAGGTATTTTCCGGTCTCGTTGCCATCGGGAAAGGCCATGCACCAGGTCGGAATCATAGGCTATCTGTGTCAGTGTTCTTCTGCCAGCGCTGCGAGTGAGCTGCAACTCACAATGCTTCCGCCTTGCTCTGATAGTCCCTTCTCGAGCTCTTTAACAAAGTGATCCGAGATGTGCTTGAGCTTTTCCGTGGAGACAACAAAGTGCTCCTCCAGCTTCTCAATCTGCTCCTTCAGATCCCGGGGCATGTCCGCCATGGAGCCTAGCACAATTGTCATTCCCTCAGTCTTTGTGGTAGCAGGCTTGGAACATACCCTTGCGGGAAGGGGGTTTCTTTGCGCCTAGCAACACCATGATTGCAACTGTGAGAGTGAATTAGGTATGACCGGTTTTATCGTAATTTATCGTAATAGGCGTTGTGTGTCAAGACAAAAGTTGAGGCTGATAGGTGGGGAGCTTCAGTTGCTTGTCAGTGTCGGTACAATGACGATATGCCTATGGAGATGCTAAGACTGAAGGGAACCGCTCGGCCGTCATGTTCCGCGGACAATCCCACTTTTTGTAGACGAGATTTGCTTTCTCCACCAGCCCAGGTTGCTTTTGGAAGTAGTATGGGGAGCTCAGCTTACCGAGACTGTCTTATCATGCACCGTTCACAGTCAAGTCCGCCAATGGCTTGTAAGGATTATTCAACAAGCGTTCAAGCTCAATCGGGGTTGATGGGGACAGAAGCAGAAGAAAGTGTAGGGTGCAATTGGAGGAAGCGAAATCGGGGAGGGAGGAGGGAGGATGGATACGCTCGAAAGCCATGTTGAGCCCCGCCATCCCACGTAACATGGCTGGACACGCCTCGGAGCTTGGAGTGCCGCCATGGACCCCGCCACCCTGTCCACCGCCTTCGCTCAATCATCCTTGGCTTCGAACTCGATGCTTTTGCTTCGTACAACACCTCACCGCAACACATTTGCGTGCTTCTCAACCCGAGAAAGCTCTGTGCATTCGGCATCACACACAAGGAATCGCTTGTTTTTGAATCGTTATTTAAACATGAAAAGCTAATGTCTAGATACCCAGACACTAGCATAAAAAACCTCATTGTGTTCCTGCACGGGGATCATAACGCCAAGACCCAGGCTTTACGCCATGCCCAATACCAATACCCTTGCCCGTCATCATGTGCACGCTGCTCTCAGGACACCTTCTGCAAGTGTCCGGGCAGCAACTGTCGAGGGCCACCTGAACTAATAGTACTCTGCCTTCTGCTTCCCGCTCCACTGTCAAGTCCAGCACTCAGCGGTGCCCCAAAGCCCGCGCTCTGTGGAAAATGTTCGTTGGTTGCGCTCAGAGGTGCGCCCATCATACCCAGTCCCATCCCTCGTCCGGTACTCGCGTTGTCTCCTCCTGAGAACATGGAACCTCCTCCACCAGGCGGCGCTCCAAGTGCAGAACGAATCATGCCCTTCATCCGTATATATTGGTATTTCGATCGTTGAGATGTGTGAGTATACGTTGCCATGGGACGCGGTCGGTGTCGACCCAGGGCGGCCATAATCGAATCTTTCTCTTCGTCCGAGTCAACAGCGCCCGAGGGCTCGAGATCTTCGGGAAGAGGAGCGTTTGCGTCGATGAGTGATCCTGAAGCAAGGTTAGCGTGTGCTCCTCTCGACACTGGTTGTTAAATGGCATACTTTGTATCTTGGCCTGGTTCTTCTTTTGGTACTGCGCCAACAGCATATCGTACGGCAGACTACGTCCCGGGACAGCCCTCTTGAGACCCATGGAATGGCTCTTGCAAGTCAAACTCCTGGCGCAGTATCCACCGTTTGGTAGAGATACACCACATTGCCTCTCGACGTCGACTGGCCCTTTGGGTTTGGCACCCTTTTGCTTGGGTTCGTCCTTCTTCTTCTTCTTTGCATTGGGCGCCTTCTCTGCATCCCCATCAAGCTTCCGCTTCTTGCCCTTCTTTGCGCCGTCCCCATCCATGGAAGCGCCTTTGATGGCCGACTTGCGCGACTTACCACCTTCGTCGTCTTCGCCTTTCTCCTTTCTGAGCGCAGCATCTTTGGCCTCCTTGGCTTCTTTCTTCTTCTTAAGCTTCTCTTGCTTCTTGTGGAGACACTCGCGGATATGTGTTGCTGACGATGCGCGGAGCACTGGCCGACGACAGTGCTTGCATTGTACCGTATCTACTTTGTCATCTAACGGGCGGCCGCTGGGGAAGCCAGAGATTGTCTTTTCGTCGAGAGCGTTGATCACAGGCGAAGTCGTCGACGATGCGGGGGCTTTGTTCTCAATATCTAACATTACATTAGCATAGGATAGACTATATGCATGCACATGGTGCGCTGCACACAGAGTTTGGCATACTTGTTGCATCGCTTTCCTTCCAGTTGCCCGGTAGCGATGGTTTAGGCACCGGCTTCTTGATCCTCAGCTTGATCCTCGACTTTTCCGACCTTACGACGCCTTTGACCAGACTCTTGTCTAGCAGGCCTGTGGCTCCCTCCGAATTTGTAGGAGTTTCTATAGCGCATTAGTGCCAACGCGCGTGTGGGGTGTGGACACTGCGGCGTGAGCTCACCCTTTCGCGCCCCATTCACGGCCATAATTACGGCTGCTTAATATCGGCGGAGCCCTTTACTGGGCTTCTGAGAGGTTCCCAAGATCGCTCGGAACGTGATATCAATATTGCCGATGCCCGGTTGCTTGCAAGGAATGAATCCAGATGGGTATAGACGCGCGTGTTGTTGAAAGCCTCGGATCGGTTGTCGCCCGGCGATGACGCGCTAGTCCAAACCGGTCGATACATCACATGCGCGCGACATAGTTGCACTCTAAGATCAATCACTAAACAGCCTTCAGCATAACACCGAGTATTGCACACATGGTTGAAAAGTGAATGGTTCTCTTTCTCTCACAAAAATATATTGTTTGGTCGCTTGTTTCAGTGATAAAACACCATACAGCTGCATGTAGTACTGTCAAGTCAAGACAGAATGCGCAGTTCCAAGATAACCACCCAATGCATACCATGGCATACCCAGTGAATCGAGGCCGAAACTTCCAGTGGACCACTCCAGCGCCATGCCATATCCTGCTAAACGCCTTGAAATGCATGTACCGTACTCTGAGCGCCATTTCTCTTGGTATCAACGCTCCGAAATTCGCCAAAATATGCTGTTTCGTCATTCGTAAATATACGCAGGTATTTCAACCTTCCAGTGTGGCGCTTTCGAGCTTGATCGTGATGAAAGACTTGCAAGAATATGTAGATCTTGCCGCTATGGTTTTGCAGCAAGTTCACGGGTTGTTTTCACCATGTTCAACCTCTTGCATATGCTTGTTGCACCTAGACATTAGCGTCCACGGCCCTTGGCCTTCGCCTTTGCAGTTTTTGCCTTGCCCTTCTTAGGTGGCTCGTACTCCTCGAAGTGGTTGTAACCAAACTCATCGCGCATGATGCTGTTGGTCCAGTGAAGACAACGATCCTTGGGAGCCTCGTCGGCTTGAGTCTTGTTTCGCGTCGACACCCGGGGCCTGTTCTCGTCCTCTTCTTCTTCCTCCTCGGGCTTGTTGGATTCTTGTAGATGTTGCTGCATCTTCAGCATGTACTCTGCAATGCGATCACGGAAGGCCTGCAGCTCTTTACGCAGCGCACGCTCCCGTAATCCGCGCTCATCCAGCCAGGCCAACAGCTTGTCAATGTCTTCGGGGTCATCGTAATATCCCCACTCAGTAGCCGTTGAGAGATGCGTAGAACCTTCCTCGCGCTCTTTGCGCTGAGGGACAGTGTAACCGAAACGCTCCATGTCTTGAGTAAGGGCAGGTTCCTCCAGATTCGGACCAAGTTCATATTCGCTAGGACCCTGTACCCAGATTCGCCCATTGGCGTAGCCATACTCAGCAGTAGAACTGTTCGGAACACCACCAAAAGGCATGCCGTTGTGTTCAAACCAGTAATACTTGTTGAGGAATCGATCCTTGCCGAGAATCTTGCTGCGGTGCACCAAAGTCTCACGGAGATCATCGTCAAGTTCGTTGATGTTGGCCTCGCAGTCCTTGAGCTCATCCTTCTTTCTCTCAATAGCCGATAAAAGCTTTTCCCATTCCTTTTGCTTCTTGTTCTTTTCGGCATCGGCCTTTGCCTTCTTGACCTTCTCTTTCCGGGCATCTTCGGCGGCAGCCTTGCGCTTGTTCTTGTTTGATGGACGAGTTCTTGTTTTGGAAGCAGTGGTATCATCTTCACCGTTGGTTTCGGCAGCAACCACATCTTTGGTGTCCTCGTTAGTACTGACCATGGATACGTCTGCTTCTTCGCTCGCCTTGGCGTCAGTAGGCGATGCGGGAGTGTTATCGGGCAGATGGATCTTTCGCTCCAAGTCCAACTTGCACAGCTCATCGGCCAACTCCTTCCTCTTGCGCTGATACTCAATCTTCTCCTTCCGCAAACGAGTCATCTCCTGAGCGGCGGCAGTGAGTTGATCTCGGAAGTTCTCGGTGCCAACAGTCAAGCTGAGAATCATCTCAAGTGCCGAGATGCGGAGATTAACGTCCAGGTTGTTGTAATTCTCGGCAATGGTGAGGGTAGTGGGTTCCTCCTCCTCTGACGGGATCAATTGCGCAAGAATCTCATCACAAGCCTCCTTCCTAGCAGGATCAAAGGAAAGACGATGGAGTAAGGCTACGATAATGGACTGCCACCCGCCCTCAGTGAAGTTGCGCACCTTGCACTGCTCGATCCAGTCAAACTCTGCAATAAATTCTGCAGCCTTATGAATCTCCTTCGGTGGTTCGGGTGTGGGCGTACGTTGTTTTGCAAGTAGCTGTGCGGCACCCGACTTCCTCAAGCTGCTGCGGGTTGTCCTAACTAGTGGCTCAGGCTCAGGAGTCGGGGTTGACTCGCTGCTGGACTCCTCATCCGACGAGTCGTCATCCATGTTTGGCAAGGAACTCTGAATTTTGCCGGACTCGTCGATGATTTGCTTCAATATAGCACAGTGCATCTCAACAAACAGTTCACACTCAACCGTTTCGTGCGAAAAGCGCATGGCATCAACGAAGTCGTCGAACGTGAAAGAGTCGAGCATGTAGACCGTGTCATGGACATTGAGCGTTTCCCAGATGCATAGCAGCCGGCCAATGCTTTTCATCAGAATACCCGTCTTCTTTTCCTCAGGGGGAGGCTCGACTCCATCGGGTACATCATCAGAGAAGAACTTCAAGGGTGGCCTATTTACTTGAAGACGGGGATGCTTAATTTCGAGATCTTCGCATGGGTATTTGATATATTCGACAGGGCGAGCTGGTGGAGGTGCTTGTTGCGGCTGTGCAACGCTCGAGGGCCTGGGCGCCTGTTGATGAGGAAATGTGGTTTGAAATGGAAAGTTGATTGGATGACCATTTCCCTGTGGAGGTATCTGCATCAGATGGGGAGTTAGATGCGCCGGGAGATTGGATAATACCTGATGTGGCTGTCCAAAGGTCTGGATAGGCTGTGGTCCGCTGTTGTACATCGGCGGCGCATTGAACAAGTACTGCGGTGGAGGGCCATTCAGAGCCACGAAAGGATGGGGCAGATTTTGTTGGGGGTAGGGAGGTGTATTTGTAGAGAAGTTGACGAATGTGGGCTGGCCTGGTCCAGGAGGAAGAGGTGGCCTTTGACCATTCATGTGCGGACTATGACCGTTTACTACGTGCGGTGGGTACGGCTGTTGAACCGCCTGGGTGGCGCCGTTAGGTATGCCATGAGTTGCCTTTCTAGCAGCGATTATAGCCTCCCGTGTCTTGTTATCGGGGATCTTGGTTGGAATATCATAGCGCTTTGCAAAACTGTCTTTGACCATCCATGGGGCTTTGAGCCAGTCCTCACGTTTGAGGGCATTACGAAGAAAGGCCTTTAGAATAAGCTTTGAGAAAGTTTTCTTGTTTCGGTGGAGGTCTGAAGCTTTGTACTTTGTCACGTTTTCCCCAGTGTCTTCCATGGTGATTACGTAAGTGTACGTTCGGATGTTGTCGTCCATCGATTGGCCAGTGAACATACTGTGCATTCGACTGTTATCCGTGATCTGAGTGATTGTACCGAATCGACGTGGATTGTCTCCCTCGATAGATACACGGTCATGCAGCATGAAGTGCTCCTTGAAATGCTACAAAGATGAATTAGTATCACAGTTTCCGTGGCTTGTTCGGAGATGCAAGCAGCTTACATCGTAAACGTCATTTACTTCAAGATGTGTTAGCAAAATACTAGTTGCAAATATGGAGTCTGAACCTACCTAGGTCGTCTATGCGCTCGTGATCCTGAAACTGAACATAGTGAAGAACAGGAGACTTCAAGCTATCAGGGAAGATGCTATTGATCTCTTTGGAAGCTTCCGTCTGCACGGATGTTACCTCCTCGTCGGCCTTGACGAGTATTGACGTGGAGCCTACCTCGCTCTCTTGGGCCTCGAAATAAGTGTAACCAGAATGCCCAGTGGCCTGGCATGTGAAGCTTCGCTACGATCCGATTAGCCGTTTTAAGCCCAATTGTTCAAACTATGGTTCTCTTGCCTGTTGGTAGAAGTCCAGCCTAGATTGTGTTAGTAACGTCCTTGTGCCTGACGTCATTTCCATGAATCTCTTACCGCTCGAGATAGCGCTCATAGTCGACAAAAACCTCCCCAGTCTGCTCGATATGCCACACCTAACCAACAATCTTAGTATGTATGCCCTTCGGCTTCATCCAGTTATGTGACGCACTTCGGCATTATCGTCGAGATTCTTGGGCCGGGGTTCAAGCTTGACGGGTTTGCGCTTGAAGAGAACCTAAACAATTCTCAGCAGATGTTTGTATGTATGCTGCGATCCAGTATGTACCATCTTGAAGTGAGCACCAGCTCATGTAGGGCCCTCGGCCTCTAGTGTACCGCGTCGCAAACTTCGGAAGCGTCGCGATGGTCGGAGCGCGTAGGTTGTGCTTTGCGGGGTACAATGTACAAAGAAGCGGAAGCAATGGCCCCTCCGCGAGCGACTGTGCGACTCTGTGCTTTTCACGCGTCAGAAAACGACGTCCACAAATTGCTGTCGCACTCTTCGGTGGTCCGAAAAGCGTTCCGAGACGCGTCTTCCAGTTCCGAAAGCGCGTCTGAGAGGTTCGAAGCTGCCGGCAAGAGGTTGGGGCGCGGTTGTTGGTCAGGCAGGCGAGAGGGTGGACAGCAGCAGTCGGAGGGCAGTCAATGGGAACAAAAGTGAGTGGAAGGTAGTAGGAGAAGCCCATAGTCCCTTGGCGCGAGGTGCCATACTAGATGCGGTAAGGACCGTCTTCGCACCCTACCACCTACGCCCCGAAGCTACGCACCCCACCACCATCACGATATCGACGTATTTGGACTCGTTCTCGTCGTAAAAACGAGGACAATCAGGCTGCAGCATGTATGCATCGGTTTGGCATGGCATGTCAAAGAATTTCTCATTATCAAGTGACAGTGAAGGCCGGCCATGGAGATGCTCCATGCCGCGAGCCACCTTGAGCAAACCCTTGGACAGGCTGACCCACTTGCTGGGACACGCCATCCTTATACCCGCTTCTAGTCACACACGGCCTTGCTGAACCACGTACAACCAAAGAGCCGTATATTCTGAAAGACAGCGCAGTATCAAAATGACTTGACAGGATACCCTACCCTACTTTGCCCTTGATGTCTACGTTTGTCTCCTTCGACTCACCAAGTATGATATTTGAAGCTGCT